GTAATCCTCTTAACAGGGGATTCGTTAGGGAAATATATCTCTTGACATGGGACAAGAGTCAAAGAAGTTAAGAGCTTTCCTTCCAACAAAAGGCGTCTAAGTTTCACTTTTCTTGTGAGGTAGAGAATTCATGAATTTTCCCGTCTAGCTGTAGGAGGAAAACACTACTGAGTTACAATCCGAAATTCCTTAGTCGCAAGGCACTATCATCATGCTCCAAGGGCAGATCAAGTGGAAAAGAAATGACTAATATTAGTATACGCTAACGTTTGATTTAGCGGTCAAGAAATATTTTACTGATTACAATATTATTATTTTAGGGTTTCCATATTACGCTAACAGTTACATGACCAGTTGGCTAGCCTTCCGATGCTCTAAACGAATCGCTTCAAGAATTGTTTCTCTTGCTTTGTTTGGAGTTTATGTTTTTAGTTACATTTTACTGAAGGACTTGGTCGCGTGCAAGCACGTAAAAACAACAAGCTATTTTAAGTCATTCTGTGTTGGAGCAACATCAAGGGCAGCCGCTAGACACGGTTTGACGTCAAACGAACACAGTTCGAAGTGTATATTTGGTGCATTAATACAGTAGTCGATTTTACAGGAAATTGGTTTTAAAAAGGGTGGCCACTAATCAAGAGACTCGTAAGTCGTGAAAAACATTTGCTTGCCCTTTGGACTGCCTTTTCACCTTTATTCGCCAAAAAATATTTCTGTTGTTGTCGTTATTCTGGTTGTTGTTTTCAGTCATCTCAAATTTATTGTTCATAAATAGCATAAAAGCATGAAAAACTAGACTTTGTGAGGGATTGGATGCTGTATAGTGACAAGATGACCCGTTGAAGACGACACTGCCATAATTTCTTCCCATATTCAATGTCAGCAATATCAAATTTGGGTTACCCACGACCTAACAACACCCTTCCGCAGTTTTAATGTGCCAGATCTTCCTTAAAGCATTGGATAGTTAAGGTATTCTTAACTCTTTTGAAACGAGAATGACTTTCAGACGGTGGTAAACAAAGTTCGTCTGAGCAGCAAATCACTTTGGAATCCCTTCTCACCAGGATTTGGTACACATGAAACTAATGGCCCGATGTTTTACGCCGTGTGAATTCTATTCTAACTTTCAAAAACACTACATGCCTTCTGTTCCTCTGTGGTATCTAGCGAGATTTATTCTTTTCTATCAGGATTTTAACCTCTTCCTAAAAAATTCTTGCAAATAGAGAAAATTTTTTCAATTCAAAGATCACCTCTCCTTCACATCAGATGAGTGACCTCCCCACTGAACACGCCCTTAACGCAACTGAAACTTCTAGATCTTCAAATGAACCCAAAGAGTCAGACGGTGAGCCACTATTACCCGCTGACAGCAAATGACTCGGCATTTATTTTTGAGCATATCAAGAAGGAAATAACTATATTATATTTAAGCTAGGGAAACTTTTAACACTTATCATACATATTGATAATAAAAGATCACGAAATCGTCAATTTATTCGTCTTTAAACTTGCTGTAAGTTTGGCAATTTCGAGAAATGAGGTTGTTAAACTACAACAACAACTACTACTACAAGCAAAACGATTACGAATACAAAATTCACAGTTAATTTTTCTTCAAAATTTTTCTTTCAGTTCGAAGTTTCGTTCTACACTTGATTAAATATTTCCCCGCATGTGGATAAGAGAGTAGGCGTAGGATGTGCGCATTAGCTCTCGTGTCTTTGTTTACACAGGTTTTGTTGTAACTACATGTTTATTTCTTCCCTACGTCGCTATTGTTTGGTGTTTGATATTCGTACTCCATTTGAGCAGATTTATCGATGACACTGTTATCAGATAACATCTACCGATGACATGTGAGCCAAAGGACAGGTTTCGCACCTGTCCTGACCTTTCCTCACAGTAAATTCGTTTATTTATTTCAATTTTTGTGTTTATTTCCAAAAATGTGCTCGCGCATGAGCAACGCTAAAGGCTTTTATCATGCAAGAGCCGTGCACTATCCAGTATTTGGCAATTATAATGAATCTAGTATTCAAGAAGGACTTTCATTAAATTTCAGCGTGGCCAACATCTGCGAAAGGTGAAGGCAAATGCTAACGCTTACAAAGGAAAAAGAGTAATATTCTTTTACTATCAAGATGTCAACCTCTAACCTTGAAGGGGAATGCTATACACAAATATTATGACCTAACATATGTCTAAATGAGAAATGCGATCACTCGAAACACGCAAAATCTTCATGGCTGTGGACTGCGCCCAAATAAAAATTAGGATTGTTTTGCTGTCGCAGTAAATATCTCCTTTGAAATTATATGAATGCAATGAATTTACCATTCGCAACGAACAGAAAGCATGATATTTTTCCACATACAGGGAAACAAACTTTTTGTTTTTCTAGTTAATCGGTATTGGATTCCTGTCAAACATCTTTTACATTTGTAAGTTAAAACACTCGAGTTTTAACGTAATTGCGGTCTGTATTTATAGCAACTCTTCAAATTGGCGTGGTATTAGTGTGACTTTCATCCATTTATCGAATTAAAAAGGACAGTTACACATAGGTCAACTGTAAAACTGACAAACGCTGTCTCCAAAGCGGGATTTGCAAGAGTTAGGTAAATACAGAGCATGCTTTCACGCATTGATGTTTGAATTAATATTCTGCAGTAATGTATGATCGTGGCGAGCCAAGCCGTACCCTTAAACTGTATCGTGGGAATTTGCTCGTTGTTGTGAAAGTTCCTCGTTGTTGTAAAAGCTGTTTAGATACACAGAATGTCCTTTCTAAGCAAATTTCATTTTTATGGTACAGTATGGACTAAAGTTAAACCCAAAGATGGAAAACTAACCAGCTAAACTAGAAATGAACAGTTTATTTGAATGTAAATCGTGGTGAGGACGGTTATCTTAACATTGTGTAAAAGAATATCATTTTGTCGTGGACTTTAACCACAAAGTTTTCAACTCTTTTTATTATAACATTTCTACAATGTTCTCTGAAAAAACCTTATTCAGGCTGCAGTGATTACATTAGGAGCAGAGCCACCGTTATGAAACAAAGAGAGGAAGGTCATGTGTTTTAGAGAAAAATAAATTTCTGTAAGATAATATTTCTAAAGGCAGAAATAATTTTAATCTAATTTGATGAGTTTTTTTGGTCGTGATTTAAAATTGTTAGAGAGAATTTGTTTAAAACCGTTTTGGTTGGTCGTCATAGATCTCTTTACCCCCGTATCGATCTTACACTTTTCATTCGGCAACGTAATATTACTTTTAAAATTTACTGAAAATTTTTCAAATAGATATATATAAGATGATTTAAATCACAAATTAAAAAGGCTACACAAAAGATAAAGAAAAAATCACAATTAAAAAAAAGAGCAAAAGAACCGTAAATGCAAGACCTAAAAACGAAATGATAGCAAACTACACATTATAGTAAAAGTAAGTCAAACTCGCCTGTTGTTTTGGCTGAATCTCCGCACACACACAGATCTACGGGCCTAATTTTCCGTCATTTAAATTGAGTAGAGACATGCACATTTCGTATTGCCAATCTTGTTTTCAATTTGCGACTTCGGTTCGGCAATAACTTATGGTTTTGAAGGCCAAATCTTCATCACAAAAGAAGGAACTTCGGGTCGAAGTTAATATTGCTTCTTTTTCCCTGGTGCGAAAACTGTATCTTTTATTGTTTATTTCGAAGGATGATCTGAGCTAGTGGGACTATGTGCATGTATTTGATTTGCAAAGATCAGAAAATTCTACAAAGAGGAAAGTTGTAACACCGACTAAAATAATTAACTAATTGAATGCACTCTTCTTCTTCAATTGCTTTTCGTTATAACGGTATGGAATCTTTTAGCCTTTCCTACAAGTTCTTCAGTTTATGTCCTGATTGCTATTATCAATTTTGATGCGAAAAATCTTTCTTTAATTTTTTTTTTCTGATGAATGGTACTTTTAAAGAGATTGAAAGTTCATATTCTCTTGTTCTTTCTCAACGAAACTTTTTCATAATGGTCAATTAAAATCCTATTCATCAGCGAGAAATATTTGCAGCAGGTGAAAATAAAAAAAAAAAACAGAAGAAAGTTCTTTTGCTACATGATTTAACTGCCAAAATTCTTTTTGGGTATTTCACAATCATACTAGATTTAGCATTTTGTCTAAATCCTTCGAGATTTCCGTTCTATCTTTGATTTGCACCAGAATGAGAACATTTCTGGAATATTCCTTAGAAAACGAAAAACGGACAAAATTATTTACGCTGAAACCGTACATTGGGCAGAATATAAGATCATCGACTTTGTCTTGTAATATTCGAATAAAGATCATTGGGAAAAAAATTTAAAATGATAGGGATTTGACTAATCAAAAATAAATTATTGCGCAATTTTGTGACAAAACACGGGCAGATGTCTGGTGAGCAGGATAGGCATCGATACAGTGGATTTTGTTCGTCCACTAGGCAACGTTGCATCTATAGTTAGTTTTATTGAGATTCCCTTCAGATCTTCTAGAAGAACATTGGGAGTAAAATTTTTTAACACCTTCGATGTTTAGAACTTTCTTTACACACACGTGCTGCAGAAGTCAACAAAAGCTAAAGGTTGCGTATGAAAACATTGTCTTGTTTCCATTGTTGTATCTTATTACTACTTAAAAGGGCACGCTCCGTGAATTGAACATTCTGATTGCCCATTGTGTTAAGACTATTTTAAGAGGAAAGGCCAAATAGAACAGAGAAACATTATACACAAGCATTCTAAAATGCTTACGAACTCGGCCTAAAAATTTTAGTGCTAAAAACAAACGCAAACACTGATAGTCTTCACAAAAAGTAAGATTTCTTTGCGGTAAAGGTAAACTTAATCTTTGATCAAATATTACAAGTTTCCTTCTGTAGTTGTTTTGAGTAGTATTTGTAATACTTAGTACTTCAAAATTTCGAGAAAGCTAAATTTCTCATCTAAATGCTGTCGTTTCAGGAAGCAGAAGAAAAGAGTCGTATTCTTTCATTATGCTGGAGAAGAAACAAAGGCAGATTGCTCAAACTTTAAAATGGTAAGTTAAAATTTCGTTAAACAGAGGAATAAGTACATGTTACACGACATATTTAAGTCATGGGTATTAGCTGCGAAACGTGAAAGCATTAAAATGCTGACGGAGAAACCCAACAAAGAGGATACATCGAAAACGGTGGAAACCAGGTAAAATGTTTGAGACTCTTTTTAGGGAATGGGTCAAAAAACAATATTTACGCAATCAACCTCTAGTTCTTTAAATAACGGTTCGAAAGACATAAGCTAGCGCTATACTGAAATGAAAAGAAATGTTCGAGGTATAATAGATGATATTAACGAGTAATTAGAAATTGTTATTTGAAGCGCGATGCATGATAACATTGGCCTGTTATGTTTGAAATTAATGATGCGAAGGAAAAAGGGTAAAAAGATGAAACGCCTGTGCTTTCCCTTTCTCAAACCATCCGAGTTATGATAAAAATTGTGAACATTTTGCATAGCGGAGTAAGAATATGAATGAAAAGCTCAAACCATATTAATTGAAATGACCACAGGTACCACAATGAGAAAATAATGGGAAAACTAATTAAATGAATAATCTCTCGTTTATTCGCTGAAGTTGATTTGGGTATCCATCGTGTGTAAACGATTATCTCTTTATTAGGTCAGAAGTAATATAAATTAAAGTTTTAGCAAATATAACGACCTTAAAGATATCTCTAGATGCCTGTTCTTGTCTGTTTATGAAGCTTTGCCGTCTACTTATACACCACGCTATAAAGTTGTCTCTATAAAATTACAATAGGGAAAAGCAGACTTTGCCCTTTTGAGGATCTGTTTATCTATAAATATGCACAACATCTAATTATAAATAAGCACAGAATATACTAATCAAGCTGTGTGACTTTCTGGAGTATTTTGTTGTTGTGGTTCTAAATATGCTCAAATTCATCAATAACTTGGCCAATGTAGACAAAGAACAGCCCTGCACAGAGTTGACTTAAAATTTCTGAATAGCTTTTGCGCCTTGATATCTTGAGTCAAAAAATAACTAATAAGGGTAATGAGAATCAGTCTAGACGCACTCATAAAATTCCCATCTATGATGACAGGAGGGTCTGAAGCGTTCGCTCGTTAATGCTTGTGGTTTATTGAAGCCTCTAGAATTTTCCAGTGTATTCAACAAAGAAGCTTCTTTCAATTTATAAGAAAATCTTGTTGATATTTTGTAGGATTAAGCAACAATTTTTTCCTCGCGATCGCCGTGAAATTTTTGTTCATCTAAGAGGCGCCTAAGGCATTCAAAAGTTGAAAGCAGTGACCTCAGTAATAGGTCGAACTATTGTGTAAGTTGCTCCCTAGGTTTTATAGGCGCTACATTTCGATTTCAAGTTTTGGCACTTTGAAAACTTTCTGTAATTGAAAGAAACCATCTGAATAGCAGTTTGCTAAGGGAGACAACACTTTTAAGAAAGAAATAAAAGGGCTTGCGAGGGCGGAAAGATCCATGGATTACAAATCTTTAACTTGGAAGAATTAGGCTTGTCAACCGGAGAATTAATCCATGCAAGCGACTTTCATGAAAAGAATTTGCAGAGGAGAAGTCTGCAATCCAGGCTTTGAGGAAATCCGAACCGAAGCCTCCCAGGCATAAGCTATGCACCACTAAGAACTTCTTTTTTCCAATTTTTCTGATTGTGGTTTACCCGCGAGGACCATTTCCTTACTTCTAAATCATCTGCAGGTCAAAACACGAGTTACTTCATTTTACTGTGGTCAGATTCCTTTCTGAAAAAGGACCTTATGGTCACCAGTTTATGCTGAAGGATGGGAGTATTTCAGTGTATCTGTTTTCCTCTACAGGCTTGGTGAAAACTATGAGCTGAAAGAAGGGATGTGTTTACCACGTTGTGTCATGTACACGCACTATCTGGATTTTTGTCGTAAGGGCAAACTGTGCCCCGCAGGACCAGCCACATTTGGGAAGGTAAAACTGAGATTCCTTATGAACAGAATTTAATGAGGAATTTGAAACGAGTCTTAAAGTGCAACGAGATTTTGTGATTTCATGACTTTTTTACCTCTGCTTATTGACAATTTTATACATTAACATGAGGAAAAACTTTGTTTAGAAGCGTTCTCTATTTATTTTCATAATACTTACTGCATTATTGATCTTCGCAATGGGCAGGTTCTTACTCACCTAGCATCGTAAATATTCTAGCTCTACAATGGTTCCTCTGAACTGAGTTAAATGGTAGAGCGTCAGAATGCAAGATCCTAGGAACTAAGGATCAAATTTGACTCGTGGATGACTTAACTGTCTTTCTTAATACTTTTACATCCTTCTGAATTTGAAGCCCTAGCGCACTGCAAACTTACTTCCATTTTAGGCTGATCGCACGTTTTTGTTCGTTGTACTAAATCAACGTTTTTAAATCTCTTTATAGATAATCCGTCAAAGATTTCCAAAGCTGACGACAAGGAGACTTGGAACACGTGGACAATCGAAGTAAGTTTGATCAATTAGTTAAAATTCACGTGAGTTGTACAGATTATTTTGGCAAGGCTGATAGGCAAGATCTGCCTTTGTTATTCCCTATATCCTGAAAGTTGAAAATGTCGAGCATACGTCCCTCTCCACGAGAAAGATACTAGGCAAAGTTTTAATGAATTATACCAAATACTTTGAAAATGTTTAAATTTTGTCCAAAATTGTTCGAAATAGGGTAGGATATATTAATTAGGAAAAAGATTAAACGAACGATCAAATCAAAAGGAGCTAGGGATGGCTAATAATGGAGTGGACTGATATGGATTGGAAGTTGCAAACTCGACAAATTAATTCATGTAAAAGCCGTTAGCTTGCTCCTACAAGTGGCTATAGTAAGCAGAAAATTGCTTAGAAATACTGTCTGCGCTTTAATGCCTGATATTTATCAGTACTCGACATTTATCTTTAAGATAATCTTAATCTCAACAGATATCATTATTATGGCATCGTCGTAAGGGAAACTTCAGCTTACTTTCATGCTGGTTATTCTAAAAAGGGATTATCAAGGTGAGTTACGGTAATACCCTGCACCTATTAGGTTAAAGGAGGAGAAATTCATTAACCAACACTGAAAATTGACATTCTTCTTTTTGCAGATTTTCAGGGATGAAAGGAAAGGGAGATGTGGTAAGTTGTCGCTGAGTTAAGTTTAGCCATAAGATACTGATCACTTTACTGTCATTTACGTTTTCTTTGGGAATCGTGTCTATCGATTTAACAGAAAGCCAAAGTGCAATAATGTTCTCAGTCAGGAGATTGAACTTATGTGAGGTAATAATAACGTCGCATAGTGTCATTCTGATGACCAAATGAGTCCAAGATTGAAGGAATTAAGATTACATTTTTTAGTTAATAGTTAATGGGCGATGTTAAGCAGTGACTTAAACTTAAGAATACCCTTGATACTTTTTCCACTATACCTTTAACGTAAAACTCTCTCTTCTATGTAGAACGCAAACCACAAGAAGTTTTCCCTAAGTGCAAAGTCTGGAACTCTTTTACCTGAATTCCCCAACGCGAAAACTGTCCAGTTACCAGATGGAGTCTCCATTCACAAGGTTAGATGCCAGTCACACAAACTATACTAAATTTTTTACTTGCACTCTCTTAAACAAATCTTCGGAGTTACTTTTAGAGTATAATCCTTTAAAGCGATATTCTAACTTTACACTCAACTCACCAGGTGGAGACATTCATCATGATGTACCGAACGCATTGTCAGAGAATGCTCGACACTGTTGTTAGCGCCAACTTTGAGGGGGTAAGTTATCAAACATAGCACAACATACTAAAAACAGCAACACAAAGTTTATCAATAAATCTTGAACCTGATATGTTTAAATGTTTTTTTTTCTCGAACCCTCATTATCTTTCTTTTTGTTATTGAAGTGATAGTACCAACTTGGTCAGTGTTTCAAACGTAACACAATCGTTTTCGACGGAGTCTTGTTCTACCTTATACATTTCTGAAATTTTTAGTGATGTATTTTCAATTATAATTCCTTTGTCATTCTACAGGTTCAGAATTTCATCACCCACTTCTGGCAAGGCATGCCAGACCATATAATTTCAGTGCTGGAGTGTCCTGTTGTGGTTGACATTGTGGCCATTTGCGACTCAATTTTATACAAGGTAAAGACGGTGGAAAGTTAAGCGTGTTTCTGTTGATTAAAAGGAAAGTTAAGTAATTAAACGAAGAACTTGGAGAGAATTATGGCTATTGAATATTCGGTTGAATGCTTTCACATCTGAATAATTGATTGACTTTTGATGGGTTTTAGGTCTTGACAGATGTACTTATTCCTTCAACCATTCAAGATCTTCCGGACAGGTATGTTACAAAAGATAAATTAATAAATCCAAGATAATTGCAGCCATCATTGTTCTATTTTCTTGAAAATAATCAAGCCAATTTGATTTCAGTCTCAGAGAAGAAATAACTGACTTTGCCGACAACCTCCTTGACTGGCTTGCAAAATGTTTAACAGAGGTGCCACTTGCTCTAAAAGAAGCAAAGTTAGAAGGTAAGCATAATTTGTTATTTACCTATCAGTTAACTAGGAAACATACAAATTAAAGTAAACTAAGAGGGCACAACTCTTGCATGATTTCGGATATTGATATATCTGTACACAATTTGGATTCTTAGTTGCAAGGATTTTTACTCAAGCATTAAAGAGACAAGTTGGTTTCGTTCACCTTGCACAGGTAGGTAAAAAATGATCTGTTAGATGAAATATTGTCCGTAGACAGGAACGTAAAAAGTATGCATTTTATATGATATATCGACCCAAGATATTGCCAACCTATTCCCTGTGCTTTAGAAATCTTACAGGCCAAGTGACCTTAACAACTTGCAATGATTTTCCCTGATTTCTGTATCATAAAACGACTAGGAACATATCTACCCTTTTGCGGCGAATGTCAGTCCATCATAATAAAATTTACAGCCTTTTGACGGGTTTCCCTTTGGCTCGTGGGTAATCGTCAGTTTTATAGTTTTTTTGTCTAGAAACACAACACAGCGATTCAGCAAGGGCTATAACATGAGACGCTATGCTGTGCCCATAGAGCAAACTAATTGGTTACCAGGTCTCCACCCTCACCGATTAAGCTGAGAAGTAAAGCATCCCATAACCATACGTTCGAATCTTAAATTTCGCGTAGGATTTTTTTTTTTTTTTTTTTACAATTGTAAATGGGCCGGGTACATTACTTCCTTTGACTGTGAATATATGAAAATCACATATTTGAACTGCGGATAAAGAAGTAAATATGAAAACGATCTTCGCAGTAATGAACACTACTTGAGCAGTAGTGAAAATAAGGCCTTACTTCTGCACCGGTATCGCAGAGGTCATGGGTTCAAAAGCCGTACAGGCCTGAATTTTTTCCAGGCCTTATTTTCACTGCTGCTCAAGTGGTGTTTATTACCGCAAAGATCGCTTTCATATTCATTACTTCCTTTGTAATTTTGCAATTTTCATCCTTCTGATTTAGTCAATTTTTAATTCCCTTGAGTGTAATTCTGTTAAATGAAATTCTCTTTCAATTACTTCTTGCAGGCGGCACGTTCAGCGTTGTTGAGTTATGAGGATGTCTCTCAGATGTTGGGTGACCTAAGGAAAATCGAATTTGATCAAATTCTTTCCAAAAGCTTCTTCATTATTGAAAATATGGAAGTATTTCACAAGACTAAGACATGTAAGTTGATTTTCTTTGTTTTCTTATTCTAATCTCCTCGTTTCAGTGACCGCAGCCGTTGAAAACAGCAATTTTTGTCCATGGCCCATGGGATCAGTTGTGTAGAGAGATTGTAAGGACGAGAGTCCTTAAGACTGCTGTTACCGATAATTGCTTCTGAGAGATAAAGTTATGTGAAACATTGTTTATCAGGGGAAAGTTTCTGTTCTACTGCCTTCAAAAAATGATACCTCACCTAAACAATCAATTATAATGGAAAACCTCAACATCACAGATTCAGATCGAACTAAGAGTTTAAAAATGTAGCTGTCTTCGCTTCAATTAAAACTGACGTAGTCTTTTCCGGCTCTTGATTGCGTTATAAGCTACAGGCTGACTCTGAGAAAATTGTATTAGCCTATTTAATCTTTCACATCTCTGCAAAATTGCCCAGCATCTAAAAAATTGCATCAAATCATGATTTTCTCCTTTTGTAATTGCCAGATGTCAGTGAGCTAGAAAATCTCCTCAGTAAGCAAGCACCACTGGAAGCTTATATAGAATGGCTGGACAGTGTGGTGGATCGATGTGTCCTCAAGGTATTCGTTTAAAATTTACATAATTTAATAATTTAAAACAAAGAGACGTAGAAATAACTTGAATTAGGTGACTTTGTCAGCCGTTTGGAGAGAGCAGAGAAAAAAATGAATATATGCCTTTTTCCAAAGCCATTTTCAGACTCAAGCTACCTGGTCTCCAAGGAGTGATATTAAATAAAAATCGTATGTTCCTTGGATATTCCTCCTGAGAACAAGCGAATCGAAGCAGCATAGATTTTCCTCTCGAGCCATATTTAACTAGAAATTGTTAATCCTAGATCCGGTTTTCATAAATAAATATCGATCTACATATAGTTTAAGAGTAATACTCTTTGAAATGAGGTCTATACGAAGGCCCACTTTCTCACTTTTACTTCCTCTTAACTTTTGAAAATACGAACTCCCTGGCAATACTAGGCTTAGCCTGGCTTCATGGAGCAAGACTAAGGCTGGAATAGGAAATGCTAGGTTTAGCCCTCACAGATTAAGATTAAGGCTATGATATAAAACACTAAGAATGCTACCAGTCCTGACTTTGCAGTTTAGGTGTAAATTCACGTTTCCTTATTACTTTTGTTTCTTTCTGAAGTTAAAAACCATTGTTTTTCTGTTGCAATAGCTAACTGTTTTCGTCTTACGGTCATCTGCAGGAATCAGAAAAGACTTCTATCGAAGACAGAGCAAGGAAATTCCTAGCCATGTGGTCTTTTATTACCGCACGATTGTTAGCTGATTTGACGCTGAGAAGTGCTCCGAGTTTTGGTAAGATACTCGTATCGTCAGGTTGTTTCATTTTCAGCAGCAAAATTCCAATGTGTTTGTTTAGGACGCTCATTGCAACAAGGGCTTAGGAAAATTTTCAGTGTGCTTGTGGCTTTCGCCTGAGCTCATTGAGGATATCTGGGCAATATTAAAAAAAAAGAAGCTTTTCAATTTTTATTGACCCTAAAAGCCGATAATAAATCGATAACGTAACTACACTTAAAATGCGACTTCTGTGACAAACATCGCTTACACGAAACTAATAATCATTTTAATCATTTTGAGACGATCAATGAATCTCGTCCAAGTTCTTTGTCACATTTTTCTTTTTTGTTGTTAACTGATGGTACAAGTTCATTTAGTTGGAATCACCACTGTACCCTGGTCGATTCTTTTATTTAGTTTTATTCAGCTTAATGAAAGAATGGCAAGTACCACAGAGCTGCAAATCTCGGATTTGAAATTTTGAGCTTAGTTGCTCTAAACATGTTGCTCTTTTTTTCCTCTTGATTAGGTGTGTTTCACTTGATCCACACTGCTTTTGATGAATATGTCTTCCTTGTGGTCGAAAACCAGATGATTGTGGAAATGGATAAGAAGTTGACACGTTCTCTTGAAACACATCTTAAGAAAGGTGAGTTCACTTTTGAGACGTCTCTCCATATATTTCTTCGTCATGGACACACAGAATCTCTCAAACGCTGTGTTGTTTAAATCATAATAAAAGATAAAAGTTTTCCCAAGCGTCGATACTCAACGATATTTATATTTCTAGTGATATACATGTTTACTTTTTTATTTTCAGAAAATTCAACATTGTTGCCATCTATCGAGTCAGAGCTTGACAAACCCAAAGAAAACATGCAGCCAGAGCAGCTACATGACATACCAAAAGAAGCACCTCGACCCAAACGGCAAAAGAACCCAACGTCGAGTTTCCTTCCAGCTGTTAAACTGAATGTTGCCAAACATCACTCCTCCCAGCAACAAAACAAAGAAAAAACGCGTCCTGAATTTTTTGCAGAAGGCAGTCACTTTATCCCAGCGAGCACGCCAAACGTGACCTTTCCCAGCGAAGAGATCTTTCAGACGGCGCCAATGAACAATCAACCACGTCAAATGCCGAATCCAACGCCGATGAATGTTTCTATTCCAACGCCATTTTCACCATTACAGGAATGTCGCTCCAGTTTTCAGCCGTTGCCTCTACCGGAGCACGAGCAACCTCGCCAAGCAACCCCAGAGGCTGCGTTCCAGGGCGATTTTATAAATGCAATCGACAAGGCATTTTTCTCCTCAAGGGTTACTCTTAACCCCGATGACTACATGGGATCGGCATGGGTGCAAAATGACGCTCAAAATCTCACTGTGTTAAACCCTGTCAGTCTTCAGGAACATAACCTTATCAACAACGGAGCCATTAACTTTGCAGGGAATGGAAATTTCCCTATTACTTACGAAAACAGCTTACCTCCTCTGAACGTGTATTCGAATTCACAAACAATGGCTCCAAGTCCGCGACCACAAGAAATTCCTTATATATCCCCAACCAAAGACGACTTCGGCTATGTGCCAAGCATTACAAACATGTATCCGAGATACAACACGCCAAATTATCTCTACGAACCTGTGAGGAATGCAATGCAACCCAACGGAAGTGATGTCATGAATTTCAACGGATTGCTCAATGCTGCAGCTAGTTCATTTGGAATGGATGGATTGACAGTCCATGATGTTCAGCTTAATCGACTAGGAATTGGAGCAGTTTAATTTGAACGATTAGTTATTTCATGCCCTATGAGTAATGCACATAAGGCAAAAAAACTCCAATAAACTTGAATTTCTTCATAACTAGCCGTTAGACTTACATAGATAGAATATTGCCTCAGAGAGATATCATATCGTTAAAAAGAGAAGATTGAAAATTATTTATTAATGGCCTCAGGACCATTGTTGAATAAATGGGCTTTAATCAAAAAGATTTATGACAATTTAAGTATTTGTGCTTCCATATTTGGACTTTCAGATTTTCATCAGTGCTGTAATGGGTAAGTTTAATGTTACATTTTATGCAATATAGATGGAAGCTGGAAATGTGAGGCTAGCCAATGACTTGAAAATAAGAGTCCAGAGTGCATTTGTCAGCAGTTTGGATACAACTTTACCGTGGACTATTTTTCTAAATGAGGTATACATATCTCAGTTTTGTCTCATAAATTTTCTTATCGAAAATCTCTCGCTACGATTGTAAATAGATAGAACGATATTATTTCGCATTCAGCTATTGCCAAAGGTCGTCTATGAGAATGGTAAAGAATTCTGTATAATTTTGCAACTAACTTTGAACGTGGTAAATGTTAAAGCTAATTTTCGATATATATTTAGACAAAGAAACTAAGTTGGATTTAAGTAACTGTGAAACAATGAAAGGCAAGGCCAAAATTTCATATTAGTGTTGGGATTTAAATCATTTAAATATATCAAGAATGTTGATTCCGAAAATGTACACGGAAATTGTTAGATTAAAGTTTACAAATAATAAATTGTTAGATGAAAGTTTACAAATACGTTTCAAATATCTTCAGTCATCACCTCATTGAATTTGATATCAGAAAGGGGGTGCGGAATTCACGAAACTTCGGTGCATTTCCAAAATTTGAAATAATTTTTACATGTCGATATTCATCTCTCATGACGACTATGACCCTCCATGGGAAAACATCAAATTAGGTAAATGCATTAGCAGATAAAATAACATATTGATTTGACGATAAAAGAATTTTTTTAGATGAGGAAAGATGCTAGAATACTCGGATGTGAGATCAGCGGTTGCAGAGTTTTTGTTCAAGTTGGGAGCTTCTCAACCGATCACGCTCTTTAGTCATGATGTTTATACATTGTGCCTATGTAAATAAACTGCAGCTCGTTGTACCCGGTCGGGAGCCAAAAACTTGAATAAAGTATGGAATAAACTAAGAAAGCTCTGTGGTTTCGTAACTATTTACTATAAAGAGGCTGGAGTGACGCTAGAACTATCGGGAAGCATATCCGACAAAGTAGAAAGCTGGTCGAGTGAGGGACTGAGTTCAAAGACAAAGTAGCACGTGTAGCGCAAAGTTCTGCAGAGAGAGAGCAGGCACACTGGTGAGAGAAATAAATGAACACATTCTAAATGAGCAAAATTTCTTATTTACCTTGGCCACGATTTACAGTTCTTTTACCTGCGTACATGACATTAGTCCAGTATAAGACAAATGACTTGGGTTAACTGATTGAGTGGAAGTACTCTCTAAAACTGGTTGTTTACTTAAATTCCTTTATAAACAGGCCAGAGAGTTGTCATAACTTAGTATTTATAACCCCAAGTATTTGAAAATATATCGCAAAAATTTCAAAAAGTCCAAAAGTGTAGATTTTATAGAAATCTCTTCAAGAGCTCCTAGTTTTCCCTTTTAAGCGCATCTCGTACCTTCTCCAAATTTTTATAAATATTCACGGGGGACAGGGCCGTGACTATCTGTATTTTTGAACACGTTAAGTTTGATGTGATGAATGCCCTGTTGTGTTTCGTCTTGATAAATTTTTTATGAAGCAGAGTACATGAGGCAAAGTGGTAAAGAAACTAAAAGCTATGTTTAGTCTCCCAAATGCCGGAAATTTCTTACATGGTTTTCAATATAGGTACAGGAATAAATGAAGAAATAAGTGAAAGAATCAATGATTCTGCATCAGGCTGTATAAGCCATTAGAAAGCTTACGGCTCATTCCATTTTCTTCCACTAATCCATGGCTCCCTCTCCCATTACAAGCTAAAAATAAGTTGGAGAAAGCATATGTTATCTCCAAAAAGACAAGTTTTAAGGCCTCCTGACCTTCAGTTAAGACGTTGCGATTGTCTGAGGAAACATTTTGACGATTTAGTGGTGGATGTAAATGTATTAGGTATCACAAAGTGCGTATAAGCACTTTGACATTGCTATGTACTTAAAATGTGGAATTATGATCATTAGATCGCTATAAGTCCTCCTCTTCTAGATTTCGCACTTATGGTGAAGATTAAAAAAAAAAGCATAAGAATATCATTTTGTGGCGTTATTCCTTCCTGTCAACCAATACGTTCGTGTCTTTCCTTTCCCCTGTTGAACAGATACAAATATCAATCAGGGATTTTGATAACATTGTCGATAGGCGAATGCCGATTGTGTAATAGGCAGCTGCGCCCGGAATATGGTCGAAACCCAAACACGTAAAGGGACTTAAATGGAACCCGTTATGTTAATATGTCTGCATGATAGATTTGGTTCTAGAGAACACTTAAAATGTTTCTCCTCCCCGCCAACCAAAAACGGAAAACGAACAAAGAGGACGACGAAGAACATTGATATCAAGTCTATAAATTTCCTAAGAGAGTTGTGAAAAATCGCTTCGCTGTTTTAGTATTTTACCATTCCTGTTAGCTATTAGTAATATTCATCGCAATCTGAAATGAAGACTTATCACTGCTGCACCTTTAGCTCAACTACTCCTCGAAATTCAATGCGAAAGTCTGTGTTTTCCAAACACTTTCTGGTGGCTTCGCTGATGTGTGCTCTCATTGGCTAAAAAGGGAATAAGCAAAAGCATAAAATGTTTGGATGTGGCTGCTATTGAAGGTGTTGGCCTTCAAAATCATAAATCTTGGCGAATGATATAGTCTGGAATAAAGAGAATCTACATTCTATACAGGGAGGGGAGGGGCGGGGTTATTTAAGATTTACTGATGCCAGTAAGTAAATACTCCAAAGTTTAACTCTCAATGATAGACATGTGTGAGTTTTTTTATATTTTTAGCCCGCACCAGATGCTCTCCCATTTGCTTACCAGAGCAGTGGTTCTTAGCCTCGAGGCTATGTTAACTGTGTCACCAAATAAGCAATACTGAGGTGTCTTCTCACCCACTAGACCAGCCGCCACAGGGCCTGAATGCATACCTGTTACGTAACATAAACAAGACTTGTCACCCAACTAAAAGATCTATAAATTACAAGCTAAATTAATGGAACTACTAGTTTCTATATGCAAAACGAATGAATTGATAAGTATATAAAACAATACGTTTATTATACTTGTCCAACGGGACTTATAAACACTACCTCCTCCCTCCCCCCCCCCCAAAAAAAAATGTTACCAGGAAATGGAAACAAAGTACCCTGATTGCTAAAGGTTGCCTTGATACAGTCTCCAGAATGATGTTTGTTTTGAACAGGATATATGAAGCCCTTGAACAAATATCCGGACATCTATTGTTATTCCTCTCTCGCCTTTTTGATTAATTTATAACGAATCTAAGAATTGTACGTAAACACCATGATTATTCGCTCTCGGTGTCCACACGTAAAGGTTGATTCGGGCCTTCTGAAACTATTACACGATAGAGATCCTGAGCTCGTAATCAACATAATGTCGTTTTTCTTCAAGGTAGGTTATAGCTAACGCTTCTCTCTGAAGTTGGAAAAAGTTATAGGAATTCTGTGGCATTTGTGTGTTAACAAGTAAAGTTAGCAAGTGGTTAAAATAGGTAAAATCTACAGAGCTCACCAATAGTTATTGTTACTGGCTTCTGACTGGCAGGGTTCACGATTTCCTTGACAGCTTCCAGCATGTCAAGTGCCATGGCTGATATTGGCTCGGCGTGGCGCACCTTCTTCACTGGAGCACCGCTGACCGTCATGTAAAGGGCATCTCCTAACGTTTCAAACTAAAGGACGGAAACGCTGTAAGCTTATTTTTGCCACTAGGCATATGTCACAACCAAACAACTTGCTTGAGGAGTCTGGCCTAATTTAGAGATATTTTCCTAATTGCATTTTAAGGAACGATATTTCTCATACAATGCAGCAAAGTTATGGAAAAAGTTAAGCTTCAAAAAACGTATTCCAGAAGTAAGTCCATTAATTCCAGATAAGAATGCCTTCAAGGCCCAGTTTTTTACCATCTTCCCGTGACAGCTTGGCAGTACATATATACATCTTGTATTTGAATTGTTTACGCGAACGAATCTAGCTAAGCTGGCACTACTTGAAAACGAATTAAACTCTTCACCTTATAAACATCGTGCTTTTCAGTCAACTTGTCAAAAGATGTGAACATGTTATTTACAAGGTTGACAACCTCCATGGCATCCACTTGAGAACAGATGGCGACAAAGCCGTCCAAGTAACTGAACATGACGGTGACGTTTTCAAAATACTGTGAGAGGAATTCTAGACTTAAATAGTTGAATACACAATAAGAAGGAAATAAATGTCCAAATTCCCATTTCTCTCTTGAAAGTTTGTTTTTCTCTTTTTCCACCTAGGAATAAAAGCTTTGCTGAAACATATAGCTTCGCTGGCAATATGTCACCATTATCAAGAGCAAAATTTTTTAACACATGAAGGAGTTGAAGCAAAATGAACAGTTGCACTGATGTAATTTAAAAAGTTACATCTTTATTTACAGTATATCGTTCTTAGCCGCTCATTCCATGCATTTGATAATAGAAACATGTCACCAAAACCTCATGTTTACGCATCGCTTATTTCTATAATCATCGTGTAAGTGTTTAGAGGCATCTTTCGATAAGCCTCTTTCTGAGGAGTTAAGACATGTCCTTGAAAAACATCTTAATCTTATTTTTTTTTTCGGAAAATTGATGGAAGATAGACGTTACGATTAGTCTAACCTCACATGTTTCGACAGCTTTACCCCCCAGCCTCAGTCTGTCAGCGATGGCTTTGGGCATCATTCTATATAGCAACTCTTCGCTCCGCTTTCTCTCTTGCGCCAATTTCTCCATGTTTTCTTCGAGGGCCTTTCCTTTATCAAATTCCTAATTAAGCGAATAAAAAAGGGCATTATTTATTTGAGGCATTTTAAAAGCTTAATCTGTACAAAGAAAGCTTGAAAAGTTCACTTAGCAAGCTTGAATCCTGGACTCACATGGTCTCTTGCCATCTCAAGCTGAGGCAGTGGTTTAATCCCAGATAGTACCATCTCACGAGACGTATCATGCAGTCCAAGGTCGTTCATATACAGACCTATGCGCATCATCTCTTCGACACCCCCAATTCTGCATGTAGAAAAAGAGATTATGGGAAAAAATTGCATTTCAGGAGCGTTAATTGGCCGACGTAAAGATTTTCAAAGCTGACGTTTCGAGCGCTGCCAATCGTTATTCGCTCTGACTAAGGGATAACGCTCGAAACGTCAGCTTTGAAACTCTTTACTGCGGCCAATTTACGTCAACAACTCCGTTAATAATACTTAATTTGGCGTTTCTAAAATATCTTTAAACTCTGAAAAAGTCTTATCAGAAACTTAACGATAAAAGAAAAAAGAAAAAGAACCTTAAAAACTTACAAGGGTGAACAGATGTAAATAATCTTATTCCATGATGGCATGAACTTCATCATACCCCTGAGGTGAAGCTTTGGTTGTTTGGACATCATGGAATCGTACTGTTGCTCATTTTCAGTTGAGACAAAAAGCGGACACTCCATACTGCTGTTTTGAAGTTTAAAAGACGATTGTTGCAGCGTAAAATTTGCTCTTGTCGGACGTCGTAACGTCGGAAGCGAGCAGACCAACTCGAACATCACGTGCCTTGTTGTAAACTAAACCAAACAAGTGAAGAATAAAAACAAATCATTCATGATTTTAAAACAAGAAGACTAACAAGCGTGGAGCTTGAATGGGAAGAAGCCAACATGTGGCCGAAATGAGTCACCTTACCGTGTCCCATGTAAATTCTGCTTTAGGTCTCCTCATTGTGAACGACTCCCTCACGTCGTTGCCTATAATACGATTTCCCACAGTAGAAATGATACCATGTCCTGCCATGTGCACTGTCATATCTCGCGCAATCGCAAAACTAAATGGAAATATATTGAAAAATACTTCAATGCTGACACTGCGTTTGCTGTGAACCGATAAAGGGTCTGAGGCGGGAGGTTTATAGCCAGCGTTTTCGAATCCGAGGCGGTATACCACGTGAGTGGTCGAGTTGGTGACTTCTTTGTTCAGAATTTTGACGTCAACGTCCAAGTTGTAGAACGAGGAAGCAATTTCTTTGACCTGTCCAATGACGTAGTGCATGAAGCCCTTCCGCTTCGAGATGTAATGCAGCGTTAGGCCTGCACTCGTTTCTTCCTCGCAGAAGAAGCTTGGCGACAGCATCTTTTGGTAACCAAACCGCATGTGCTCGTGCAAGTTGTCAATGCCGATTAAAAAATCCCGCAAATGCCGACCGCTTACACGAATTATACGATCGTAGCCGTAGTGACTGAAGAACTTCACAAAACAGCTGCCAAAAAACTGCATAAAATCGTCGCTCGTCATGTCCGTTTCTTCTCCAAGAACTTCCTCACTGGCGTCGGCGATCTTCTGCATCATACTCTCACTGTAGCGTTTGTGAGTTATAAACATATGATCATTTATGCCTGCGCGTTCTCTGATCTTGTCCCATTTTTCTTCACCATATTTTTCGACCAGATAGTACATGACACTCTCCAGAAGCATCCCATACATCTTATATCTACAAGCTTTCTTAAGTCAGCTTCACCAAATTGCTTGAAATAAAGGTCAAGTCGACAATAGGCCTAGATTTATAACAAAAACAATTGTTACCATGGTAGTGCTGTCTTTATAGGAAATAGTTTGATTTTTTTCGGCGCCTGTAAGCGTGTCTTAAATTACTTTCCTGATCCGGGCCAACATCAATATTTAATTCTGATGCCTTTACCGTAAATGCCTCTTTCGACCGGCCCGGAAGCATAGATAAGTACTATGCGAAATGTGGGGAAAACCAGAGGCGGAAAAGCTGGTAGTGTTACCTTTTTTTTTCTTTTACTTATAGAATAATAATCTCCTCCCCAAGTTTTAGAAAAAATCATTTCCTAAGTAACAGTTTGACATCATCCAAGTTACTAATTATATAGTTGACTGGGATCTCAAAGAAACTTTCGGTTAATAATTAATTAATGTGTGTTCCATTTCACTTTACAAAATTTACTGAATAAAAATAACCAACGTTCGAGTTAATTGGTCGCGTCGACATATACCAAAAATTAGCGAAATAAATGTTTAAAAAGAAAGTCAAGCAAACGTTCTAAATAAGCTGAATAAAAATAGAATAAAATAAGCTGTGAAACTCTCTGTTTTGAAACTTGAAAGTCATAAAGCCCTGATCGTTCTTGCCTATGCTCAACATTTCCAATGAAATTTCAACTACACTTAAATTTCATCAATTATTTAAGGCAGTGCATTGATATTAGCAATCTTCTTAGCCAGTAATAGACAAATAGTCTATAAACCGAAACAGTACACTACAACAAAACCGAACCGTTCTTCTTGGAAATTTCAGGCGGAAAGGTGTTAACGGCAATTGCGAAGTCAACATAAGGGACAGAAGAGCATAATTGACAGAGCTTTTCATGTTTTGGTCGTAAGAACCTATTGACAGTAGTGTTGATCATGTTTACTTGATGTTAACAGAAAAAAAGGTAACGCCACCAGCATAGCCGCTTCTGGTTTTCCCCACATTTCGCTCGGTGCTTATCTATGCTTCTGGGCAGGTCGAAAGAGGCATATAAGGAAAAGTAACTTGCCGAAATAAACTATTACCAATCGTTTAAGAGTCCACGCCGTGCGCCCGCAAACTGATTCCACCTAACGTCCATTTGTCTTTGATGCAAAGGAGCCTAATGATGTTGAGGTGGATAACGGGAACCCATGTTTTTACCTTCAGCTATTTCCTCTTCCACGTGAGTAAGAATTGACTCAAATAAAACACCTTTAATTTTGATATTGCCTCGCAAATAGTTTTTAAGGGAAAAAGATATGAAATTGTAAAATATTTACCAGGCACATAACGAGAAAAAATTGACTCGTATGTGCTTGATTTACACTATGTACATATGTCTGAAAGATCTTGAGAACCACATTTCACTCTAAAAACTACAAACTACAGTTGAAAACATTTCCCTCGGGCAAAAGACTTGATCATGGCTATGAACTTTCACAATTTAAAATCGTGTTTGTTACAGATAAGAATAAAGCACTTGGGTTGTTATGAAAGCATTTATGCGACCAGTAATGATAGCATAAGAAGTAAAAATGAAAAATTCCTCAATCAGTTTGTAAGTGGTTAACAATATGTTCTTCGAAAGGCCAAGGGTCATTATTGGTTGTCAATCAAGTTTCAATCAAGTCGAAAGAATGGGCTGTCCGTTATCCAGGATGGACCATTTCAATACTATTCGTAAAACATAATGCCATATGACAGAAATGGAAATTACGACACAGAGGTTATATGTGACACTGTCAAGATACACAGTTACTGGCCGGGTATCACTAATGTCAAAAAATTTTTCAAGAGTATGATGAATGAGTTCTCACAACCATTTCCGATGATTTTTTCCCTCGTTTTCTTATCGACGATTTGCCTTTCTGTTATTGCAGAACGCAGTATCATTATCATTCAGATTAAGTTAAAATTGTACAAAATATAGATGAATAAATAAAACAAAAAAAGAATAAAATGACTTCCGAAACGATAATTTCATCTCAGGTGATACACCGTGGCACGTTGAGTTAAACAACGGATTCAGAATGTGAAATTTTATTCCGCCCGCTTGGCAAAGTCCGAACATGAATCTATTGAGTCTGCAGGACTTTATCGGTTTCCAGTTAAATTTATTCTTATTGAATATAAATAATAGGGAACATCATGATCTGAAATAGTCTCTATGAGAACCCTTCCTCACCACGAGTAATAACAACATACGCAAACATACATCATCTACATCGTTAAAAAATCGAGTTGATGTCGGAGCGAAAAAAAAAATATATATGATTCAGTATAAACATATAGATCTATCGACGATGATTTTTATGAGACAATAAATTATTTTTATAAAATCAACATTGTGTGTAGTAGTTAGTTAGTGGTTGAGAAAAAAAGTATCGGTGCATGCTTTGACCTTAGAATTTGTCATTTGGTTAATTTAGCGGAGTAAATGTTGAAATATATCAAAGAAATTTCTTTAATCAGTACAAACTCCCGTTATTTTGAAAAAAAGAAAGAGAAAACGGATTACTTTAAGAGAGAATCTTCGTGGAACTAGGCACGTTCTCTGATGTGTAATTTATATTCGGGTTAAGTAAAAAGTCTTCCCATCTCATTTAGCTCTATGAGGAGTCAAAGTTTCCAAGATTCTGCTTCAATCATTTTAAGATATGATTCTTTATTTCGAAGTTTCCAAATTTAACCTATTCTTCAACAGATGTTTTCAGTGATTTCAGTCGTATGGCTGATCCGTTGAATGAGACAAACTACTGAAATGGTCGATGGAACTAAGCTGGCATCGCGCAGTTCAAAGAAACGACACATACATATTAAATCCATTTTTCACACATAAAAATATCTTTAAGCATTACAACGATTTCCGACTAATTCTTCCCATATATATTTATTGTATGGTATCCATTATCCTGATGAATGATATTTCATGTAGATCTGCAGTGGTCTTTGATGTTAAGTTAGCTTTGTTATCCACCATTTCCTAGCTAACAAGATTGGCTCAGGTTCGTTAACACAGTTCGCGTTATTTCGCTTATCATTTTCTCCGGTTTATCTTTAAACTTTTAACAATGGAAATGCATAAATGAACTAAACAACGAAGATTTAATTAAATTTACATTTTTTTTTCTTGAAGATGGCTGAGAGAAATCACATTTATTACCTAATTTTAGAGAAATTAACGAAGCTGATTTCCCGTCAAGGTGTTTCAGTTTTGATAAGTCGTTGTAGCAAATATGTAGCCAAAGCATTACCATTCAAAGCCGTAAAATCTCAATTTAGAAGCCTTATCTTATGGAGAATATTGCTTAAACTTTTTGCTAGAATTTTAGTCTCGTGTGATATTCCGCTTGGGAACATTAATTCTCGGAACAGAAGTTAATTTTCTTTACCCAAAATACCAATAATTCGTTGTACTTTCCAAAAAAATATGCTTTAACTTTGAGACTTAAAATCTACTGCTCTAAAATCTGCTGAATAAATATAAGTAAATTATACTTACGCATGTCTTGAAAGAGAAACTGAAGGGTTGTAGTATTTTTCTTCGCTGTAGCTGTCTTAGAAGTCGTGCCACCCCAACTTTTGTACTCTGCGCTTACAGTCATTTATTATTTATATAAAAAACAGTGACTAACTGTGCCAGTGAACGTTACTCCATATTGTTGACTTTGGCGAATTAAAATTGGCGAATGGAGCTAAGGCAATTAACAATCTCTTTGAAATGTCAAAACATCTATGTACACAGAATCCACATGAGTCGCGGTGAGTTAGATTACTTCTCCCGCTTAAAGCCGCTTTTTGTTTCAAATTTCTCGTTTCCTTCCACAAGGCTGAATAATTTATTATTATTTCGACTTTCTTAGTAACAAAGGTATGGGGGAAAAATCTTGTTTTTAATATGAAAATAACGACGTATCCAGTTCTTATCTCATGTAAACCGAAAGACACTACCTGAGATTTGATATCACGAATTCTAGTTTAACCATATCACAACGTTAACGCACAAATTAATTCCTCGAATTTGCCCCACATTTCACATTTTGGTAAAATTGACGGCACTTCCTAATTAAAAACAGGAGTTAAGTAAATATGACCCCCGTCCGCCTCTAGGGTAATTCAATTAGATCAAACAGCTTTCTGAATAATATTTGCTAGCTTTCAGTGGATCCTTTCTCCAGTGGACGGCGAAAACCCCATGGCGACGAGTTTATTACTTTCTTTTATTCGGCTTTACGATTTTTTTTCTTAATTTCATCCTTTTTGTTTTTCTGACTATGTTATGGGCAATATATCTGAAAGAGTCTCTGAGAAAAATTCTAAGTTATTATACAAGTGATTTTGTGACATTTCCAAATTTAATCATCGTCTTTTTTTTTTCTTTTTTTTTCCGTTTTCTGTTCAAGCAAGAATAAGAAAAACGATGCAAAATCTTTAAGGGAAAACTGCTGTCCTGGGCTGAAAATTAAGAAAACAATTAAAGGGAAGGCTCAGATTTTTAAGGCTATATGAGAGGGCTTCGGTTAAGGGATTTGATGCCCTATACTTATAAAATTGCAAAATTCATTTCATTGGCTTCAGACACTAGTGTTCGATTTTAGACACTTGCGGCCGAATTAAGACACTAGTCTCCGATAGTAGACACTAATCTCTGTATCTAGACACTGGTGTCTGGTTCTAGACTCTAGTGTCCAATTTTAGACCCTTGAGTCTGATTTTGGGCACTTGTCCCATCCTTGGCACTAGTATTCGATTTAAGACACTATCATCCGATTTTGGACAGTAGTGCCTGTTTCAGGTACTGGTGTCCGGTTTTAGACACTAGTTTCCAATTTAGACAAAAGAATCTGATTATTGAAACTTGTGTCCGCTATTAGACACTAATGTCCGATTTTATCTGCCAGTGTCTGATTTTGGACAAAACAGTCTGACTTTGGACATTAGAGAGCTGTTTCAGATAGAACCGTCCGACACTTGAACACTAGTGTCTAATTTTAGACGCCAATGCCCGATTTTAGACATTAATGTCGGTTTTTGGACACTAGAATCCGATTTTAGACACTATTGTCCAAGTTTAGGTACTAAAACCCAAGTTTTTGACACTAGTACCTAATTTTAGAGACTAAAGTATGTTTTTGGGCACTATTGTCCGATTTTAGACATTGGTGTGCCGTTTTAGACACTGATGTCTGGCTTATAACAGATTTAGACACCAAAATACGATTGTAAAACCTAGTGTCCAATTTTAGACACCTTTGTCCGATTTTAGAAACTAGTGTCCGATTTTAGCCACTTAAGTCTGATTTTGAACACCAATGTTTGATTTTAAACATTAGACACTTATGTCCTATTTTTAATCCTTGTGTCCGATTTTAGGCGGTAGTGTCTGACTTAAGACACTGGTGTCTGTTTTTTAGGCACTATTGTCCAATTTTAGAAACCGATTAAATAATACTTGTGTCCTAACTATTGTCCGATTTTAGACATTGGTGTGCCGTTTTAGACACTGATGTCTGGCTTATAACAGATTTAAACACCAAAATACGATTGTAAAACCTAGTGTCCAATTTTAGACACCTTTGTCCGATTTTAGAAACTAGTGTCCGATTTTAGCCACTTAAGTCTGATTTTGAACACCAATGTTTGATTTTAAACATTAGACACTTATGTCCTATTTTTAATCCTTGTGTCCGATTTTAGGCGGTAGTGTCTGACTTAAGACACTGGTGTCTGTTTTTTAGGCACTATTGTCCAATTTTAGAAACCAGTATCCGATTTAATATACTTGTGTCCTAACTCCGATTTTGGAAGTGTCCTAATTTAGGATTTTGGACACAAGTTTTTTAACTTACGTTTTTGGACGTTAGATTTTAGTAACTTGTGTCCGATTTTAGACATTACGCTCGATTTTAACCACAAGTGTACAATTTTAGACCCTAGTAGCCGATTTTGTATACTGCTTTTTGATATTGGACACTAATTTAGTGTCAGATTTTAGACACTAGGGTCCGATTTTATGCACAAGGTCACATGATCTTGCATGATCTATTACATGATGCAGGGAATACCATATGTGATATCAACTTGAAGCTGATTCGTAACCCTTCAGTCGTTTGATGCAATCGAACAAGTCTTATTTGCTCGTTTGCCATATATATATTCACCGTTTGGATTTTAATGATGAAACATCCATCGAGCTTTCGAAAATGGTTTGTTCCATATTAATGACGATTATAGGAAATTATAATTTTCTAAACTAAATCTGAAAGCTCGTCGACTTTGTCTGTATATCTCTCCCCAGGGGAGTGTCTTAAATGAGATGGATTTTACTTTCTGGTTTAACAGCATGGATTATTATAAGATGCGTGCAAATGAAGAAGTATTGGATGAGTGTGAAAAAAATCGAAAGGTAATGCTCATTGGTTTCGACTCATTTGTATTTGTTCGGACTTACTTTCGATAACTTGTTTTGTTTTCCAAAAGGGTGGAGAAAGAGATTCGAACTACGTCGAGAGATGAATCGTTTTAAATATAAAATGAGTTACTCAGAATAATGGTTTTTGCGTTGGCAGATGGTCGATTCAGTCAATTCAAAATGGTATCAAACCCAGATCATCAAGGATAAATCAAACATTTCAAAGATATCTTTAGTTAAGAGAGAGTTAATGGGAAATATTAACAAAATCGAAATAAACAAAAAAAGAAAGAAGTGAATTTCTATTCGTCCCACTTGGCGTTTTGACATGATTTTATTTTGCCTATCAAAGCTTAAGAAAAACAGAAATTCTAATTTTTGATCGAAGTGTTTCAGAAGGCGAAGGAAATGTGTTTAAGAAATACAATTGGTATTTTAAAAATACATCCTTCGAATCTGACTGAGTTAATTTAGATGTGGTTTTCCTCGTTTTAAAAGTACTCGAGGAGATGGCTGTGTGATGACCTATTCAAACCATAAAATTTCCAACCGCTGAATTTGTTGTTCTATCGAGAAGGCTGTTTATACGGCTGCCCACGGGGCAAATTAATCATTTTCTTTTTGCCAGCCGTTTAGGCGTTATGTGAAGATAATATTTAGTGGCTGGGAAAGGGAAGTCGCTTGTCTTCTTCTCCATTGGATTTATTTCCGGATTTTATGAAAAGAAATCGAGATAAGATTTTGATTTTGCCGCAAGAAAATCTAATGATCATTTTCTTAAAGGCTAGCCATAAGCAGGAAGTCGCGAATGTTCACAAGCTGCTCTGTTGTAAAACTCCCTGAATATTTTTCGATGTTTTTCTTTCGTAAATTTAAAATTGTAATTATCTTTTTTCATGCTACTCACCTCCAATGTCTTTCAGATACGCTTGAGGAGATTCATAAGGTGTTTGCGCTTCTACGCTTTGACTTTTAAGTTGATTTTTTAAAAATAATCTGCGAATGTAAATCTCTCTCTTTTTTGTTTCTTTTCCTTATTATAATGAGCATCATATTGATATGTCTCTTATCACAGTTTAATTCATGATTCATGAATTTATGACTTAATCTAGCAAAATGAATTGATCTCGAGATTTATAAGATGTGCCTCGACATTCTCGTCTCTTAAAGAAAAATTAATAATAGAACTATCACGATAGTAAAGGTAAATTGTCATATTTTGACAAGTTTCGGGCTAAAAGGCCAAATTGAAAGTTTTGAGTGCACTTTTACTTGTTGCCGCTTTGCGATTTTAATTTAGAGTTTCGAATGCATTGCTGTATTCGTATAAGATAGTCATCATCCAAAGAACAGCGTGAGACAGTTTAGGAAAAATTTAAAATTATTTTCAGATGGATATCATATTTCTGACAATTTAGCATGCTTTTCCAGCTGTTTTCTAAATGTTACCAGGCATGTTGTTTCTCTGGGGTCGTGATTAGGGTGTGGATGAAAATGACAGAAATCAAATTAAAAACAAATAAACAAACAAGCAAAACAAGAATAATGATTATTATACTTACAATAAAGATAATAGTGAACATAATAACGATCATCATGAAATAACGATAGTAATAATAATAATAATAAAAATGATAATGCTAATAACGAAAATAATGATAATGAATAGAAACAGGAAAGTATCACGCACAGTCGGTTGGGCATCATCGTGGTCTTTTCGTTTAGTTTCACCTGTTTCATATGCCCTATGAAGCACTTAAGAGAGGAGCGAATTTCTGGCTCAGAAACTCAGTGAACAAAAGAGTTAAGAAAAAAAAAAGAGTTTTATTATATTTCCATTTTCAAACTTTCAGTACAATTAATACAATTTAAATTGTGTTTCGTTATCTTATTAGAATTTAATTACTATCACTAAAAGTAATTAAATGTATCGTTGAAAACCGCCATGCATTATTGATATTAAAACCCGCTTCAACAATTGTTTATTTACAATATGTACTGAATGTTACGTTCTTGAATTACCAGATGTATGACAAATTTTGTAAATAAGTTCATGAATGTTTTACAATCAGCAGTGTGTTGAGAACATTAAAAGATTGTTGTCTTTCATTGAGCACATTCTTTGAAATGGTCTATAGATAAATGTACGTCATTATAAACAAATTGCTGATCAGCAAAATAAAAATTATCTCCCTTTTTTAAATATATGAAATATCATATTAACCACAATTATATCGACCAAAAAATCTGAACTCTTTTACATATCAAATTCATTTTCTAATTAATAAACCCAAAATACCAAATTTCAAAGACAAAAATATGCCGCGATCCCGCTTAAATTTCATTCTACAGCATGGCACCCACCTCCAACGTGGCATTTCACAGGGTAGCAAATGTAGATAAATTATCTACCAGGTAATCTGAAATCTTTTGATCACTATCTTTATCTTTTTCATCTATTTAATTGTTTCTAAACTCTGCCCTATCGAGGATCTGAAAAGATTGTTCTGCCTTCTAATTCAGTTGGATATGAGATAAAAGTCAATAATGATTTTGTCACTCATGTTTCCGATACTTTAGGTTTACACAAACACCTTGAAAAATTCCTTTAGCTTTGGCTGATCTTTGGATTGTATTTCCCATTCCAATGTTTGGACTTACCAGTTGCCAATTCATATATTTCCATTCCTCAGTTATACTTTCTATATTTCCAGAAAGGTACCGTTTTACGAAATTTTTCTTGTTTCAAAATAACCTTCAGATCTGACTGTGGTTTTTATCAGTAATATTTCTCTTAATCATTCAAACTACACTCACCAGTTTAACTCGACCGTTACGAGCTACATTTGAATTCTCAGTATAGTGGCCAATCGAAACTTTCCCTCTTGGAATTTTCCCGTTTCTAGAATTGTAGACATTTGCAATATCTGTAAAGGTGCCTTCATAGCTTCCCACAGACCTGAACGTTGGACTGAAAACGTATTGATCATTTTCGTCCTCTTTGAAGTACTCTGACTTTGAACTATTAAGTCCCCCCATCAGAGAGGTATTTCCTGTGATACAGAAGAAGGTTCCTTTTCGTCGTTTTGGTTTCTGGGACGTCATGTTCGCCTGTGTGCTCAGCTGAGCCAGCATTTCTGACTGGTCATCTGAACACGCGATAACAACGGGTATTTCAAGGTAGCCGTCTTTTGATAGCTTTCCTTTAACTTTCGCTTTGATCTACAAAAAAAATTATTTGTCAAAAATGTTACTGTATCTTTGTCAATATATACATTTACTTCACTGCATGATTTCTCATTTAAAATGGGAAATATGCTATGAGCTGCAAATACCTCAGTTACAATTGACATCAAGATATAACACCAAGTGCTCCAAAATTTGAGTCCGGAGATCTGAGTTCGAGTCTTTTCTCAGAAAATTGCGTCTTTTTCTTAGGAATGACACCTTACTTTAATTGTGCCAACTAAATTTTCTAGTCGTAACTTGCAAATTCTCAGAGCAATTTGACAAAATGTCATTAGGTGACCCCACGATGGGCGAGCATCATGTCGGGAGGAAGTAGCATTACTTCGAGTGTCTTCCTGCTTTCAAGGAATTCGAGGTAAAATCCCGCAAAATGAATGGGTCCTCTGGCTCGTGGGCTAACTTTACCTTGACTTTAACGAAAGGAAATAAATTACTTACCAAAATGAAATAAAGGACTGCTATGCATTTGCACGATATCAGAGTGGGGTAGGTCTTTGGTGGAATTGAAAGTGATATATTGGGAAAATCTTGTTCCCACCCGCTAAGAACTCCTTGTTTTCTTACGTAACATACTGTTTGGTCACTGAATGTTTTACCACCTGAAAAAGGAAACAAAAAGGAAACAAAAAGGAAAGAAATAAGAGAAGAAAAATGGAAAACGGCTAGGAAAACAAGCAAAAGTTAGCAACAGATCTCCCGGGGTTTCATTGCCAGGTGTTGTGCCTTATTACACTTTCGATTCAAATATTTGTTCAATTCAGAGGTCACCAAAGCTTTCTGCAGTGTAAATAAAACTCATTAAGGTAAGGTGATAATCGCCTTGATCTCACTGCCTGTGAGGCCGGCTGCAATGAATGACGTTTCACCTTTCCTCTTGGCAGTCATTTCGACAAATAAGAACTGAAGTGTGAAAGTCCTTTGTCCAGCATGTTTTTTCCTTTAACGCTTTGTCTTGAGGGGTTTTGCCGGGTTACCCTTACAATTTCTTAGATACCTGCATCTGCATCACCCCTTTTAAAAGTGAGTTAGCTTTTGCAGCATGGGTACAACTTGCCCAAGAAATATCGGATCTGCTCTCTTATCTGGATCTTTTGGAGCGAAATGCAGTTCTGCTTTTCTTCAATTAATTCCGCACGCCTAACACACCCTAAGCCCCTACCCTTAACTTTAAAGTTCAGTTTTACCTTCGACACCCACAAACAGTACTCGTTGAATGAGAGACATTTCAGTGTAAGCCACATTACGAGATGTCTCATTTGCAACCAGGACAGAGATGTTAATATCATCTCCTTGTTTAAAACCACCTCGGTCGATCTCTGCTCTAATTACCAACGTCCCGGAAGCCATACAAGACCATCCTAAAGTTCGTGAGTCTTCCTCGATCACAGGGTCCTGTCGTGAAGTAGAAACAAAATCATTCATCAAATGGATTGCTATACTCTTCTTGCCTGGCAATTTTTTAAGCTTAATTCTGCTTTTAACTTAAAAACTACGAGTATTTTCTAACTAATTAATTTTAGTTCGGGCCGTCCGTTAACCTTCCTTTCCACTATTCTAAAGTACTTAGACAATCATTATAACTGTAGTTTAGTTAGAGGATAAATTAATTGCATTATTGTTATTGTTACTCCTAAGCTCCTAAGATCAAAGGAAATCGTTGGAAAATCTAACAACAGCCTACATCGAAATGTAGGAAAAATGAAAAGAAAATCAGGACGTAGGCGAAAATGTCACCGGTTTCCTGCCACATTTTGATGCGGTCCATTCAAATATACATTCTTGCTAAACAGGAATATTTTCATATAGAATATTAATAATGGGAATTGAATTAGGTGGAGTGCAATTCGGTCTGAAATCATTCGTGTGATTTCATATTCAAAAGAGCGCCCAACGCGGGTTTGATTTGAAATTGCACGTATAACCAAAATTGCACGACACGATGTTCAATTACCACTTTATTACATCTATTTTGAAATAGCAAAATTCAATCACTCAATACAATTTTTTTAGTCTATACAAATATCTTACTGATTTAGTTTATTGAGCTGGCTTGCGAAAAATTTCAAAAGGTTTCTCTCATATTTCTACAAACTGATTGATTTCTTTAGACAAGCCCTAATTTAATTGGACTTTCTTAGTAAAGCTATCTCCTTGGCTGGGGAAAAGATGCGATTCAACTCGTAAAATGGTACGATTTGTGAATAAGTCGCACCGTTGAGAGCCAATCACATTGAAAGCATCACAGGCCATTTCAAAATGGATGTAATAAACCCTTTAACTCGTACGAGTGACCGGTATCTTATCTCCTTTTAGTATAACTGCTGAATTAAACACAAAAGTCATGAAAATAAAATAAAGGAAATGACTGTTAACTTAAGAAGGGTTAAGGATAATCCCAATCATGCAACATAAATTCATAGCTTTTCTCGCTCACTTTAGGAAGAATGTTTAAAATTTGCATATGGTTAAAATGGGTTTAAATTACAATCCGACGTATGGATAGAATTTTTTTAATTTGCCGGGTGAAGAACCCGAAATGATTTTACTATCCACTGGCCTTTTATATTACATTAATTTTCAACATCAACTCCTACTCACCGATACATCTTCAAAGTCCTCAAGCGCCACGTAATCACCAATCAGAAACTGTGCTGGCTTCGTCTTGATGTTTTTCTTACCCAGACCTCTTTCAATGACTGCTCGCGCCCAGTATCGTATGTTGCCGTGGCGACCCTCAAAAGACGTAGGAAGATACTTGTCGGGAATGATAAACTTGAACGAGAACCGGTAACTTCCTTCCGAAATGAAAGTAGGAGAGTTCATACCATTTTTCTTATTCTTTCCTGTAAATTGAGCCATGACAGGTGGCTTTAGTAGGCGCTTTACTATACAAACAAGAATTCACGATTATGCATTTTTATACAAGCCACTGTCTATGTGTATTACATCTATTACATGTGTATTACATGTGTCAGGCGATGCATGACCGCCAGTCGGTCAACTGATGGTAAAGATGTGGAGAAATGGTTCTGCTCCACTCTCTCGAATAAGGTAAGATTGCAGTTGCTATGACGGTACTGTCATTCATAATTAGCTAATACATTGCGTGCGTTGCGTTTTAGAAATGCTTCCTAAACTACTCCGCCCACAAACGTACGTAGCGTAGTATTTGCCTATGATTAAACTGATCATATATCTCGTTGCCAAACAAGATGAGTGCATAAGAGCCATGTTTTGATCATACTTCAAGTCCAAGAGTTGGGAAAAAAACAGGATATATTGTGTGTTTTGTTCAATTTGTCCAGTTTTTTTTTGTTTGTCCCCTCTGTTTTGTTTTGTTCTGTTTTGTTTTCTTGCCTTTCTTTTGTTGGTTTGGTTTAAGAAAAATTAAGATGGGTAGAATTAACCTATAAAAGACAAAAATTGCTATGGCAGGAAGCGATCGAAAAGGTTTTAAAAAACAAGCTCAAAAATTGTAACATAATATATCAAGTCCTACAAAACTCGAAAGAAGCATTAGCTAAGATGCGGAGCTAATGTAAGATGCTTGTTCCTTCTGATCTGACCGTAGTTCGTTTTCTTACACACCAGCTCAAAAAAAGCTAATACTTTCTTAATGTGCAAATTCTTCATCAGCTTTCTCGCTAAAAACTTCAAGCAGCCATATGGATTCAAAGTGGTCACCTGCCACACTCCAGTAAACCGAAGAACAATTCAGTCAACATGTATTGAATAGAATAGAGTTGAATAGAGTGGCTGATAGGTAATCTTTACCCTTGGTAGATGGTCACGTCAATTCTTACCGTAAATACACGAAATAAAAGTCTAATCATTCAAGAAAAGAAATGTTGGTTTTCCCTTTATTTGACGTTTCTCTCGGTTCACATAGCAGAATCATTCAAGGAATTTCAATGATTGTATTCGCGAGAACATAATGAAACACGTATGCAAATCACGAACTACCTAAGGTAAAGATGTTCACTAACAAGCAAAGGATGTGGGAAAGGCTCTGATAGACGGATTCAATTTTTTGGTCGCTGTAACCTTCTTACACGAGTCATAAGATTAAGCAAACCTCGGTTTTACGTGAAATAAATATATCAGATTCTGTCGAGTAATATTGCCTAGTGGGAATCAATCAATACTTGGCTTTTTGTTTTGAAAACAACATGCACCTTGTACTTGTATGAAAGCTAACGCCAGGCACAACAGATTTCCAACGCTTACGACATTATTAAGCCGCTGTATGAAGTAGTCGACTCAGGTCGGAAACCTCATCTAGACATGCACAGTGATTCTGCACGAGAATATCAGACATCAACATTGTTATTTATAGAATCAATGCTTTATGCAAAATAGTCCTACTGTTTTCAAAATTACGAAGGATCTGTGCTTTGTAATGAAGTATTCTCTTCAGCTACCATGGATGAGCAGACTTTGATAAGGAAAAACCAGAGTTTTGCGTCTTAACTTGAAAACAGGATGTGCTCACAGATCTCAATTCATGCGTAAAATAATCAAAAATGATCTATTCCAGGCTTGCGTTTATACCCCTAGAAAGCTTGTAAGCAATAGTTATACTGTTTCCTACTGTTCATGGGCAGTTTGCGCTTTTTTGGAAGTAAATGAGATAGTTTCACACCGAATTAGGTCCCTTTCAACGTTTATTTATTCATTTTTATTTTTTAGTGGATGTTTGATTCTTCAATTACTACTTTGTAGTATTGCCCTATTCATAACTCTGCAGTGAATGTTATGAAAAAAAAATGTGTAACTGAAAAAATTAGGAAATTGAACTTTTGCATCTATGAAATATTGATCCACTCAAAAGATAAATAAAACATATACGTCCTGCTGATGCTGTTTAAGGGTTTTCGTGTTTGGCGGTTTCATCCATTCTCAGCGAGTTGCAGAATGAGCGAAATGATTTTAAAATTTGCATAAGTATTTCACACCAACACTGAATCAGATACTCTTGTATCTAACCATGATCAGATAATTAAAAATATTTTCGGTAAGAAATCAGTGGTTGATCATATCCCAGATCAGAATTTGCATACGACATTTAATAAAAGCTAATTAACACGACTTCTAAACTCACCTTCGCCTAAAATCACCGCCATCGTGCTGAAGAACCGTTCTCGGTTGTAATGGTAGCGAGTGTGACTGCCTGAATATTCAGGCCAGTTCACATAAGCTTCACCACGGCATTCTAGTCGCAATTCCTTGATCTTCGAATGTTCTTTTAGGTGCAATTTAACCCGACCGCTAACAGTCTCGCCAGGATAAAACACGCGATTCGGTTGGTCGAGTTGAACTTCAAATATTTCAATTGCATTCGAAGCCATGATAAGCTGGTAGTGAAAACACTGCACTGAAAATCGCAGTTGAAACGAATATACAGATGTTAATAACCAAGAGGTTCAGACTTCACCATTCTTCATTCCAAGCACCTGTTAAGAGCATACTATGTCTGGATCAACACACTTTTTTTGTGTTTTACCGTCGATGGCCAAAGTCAAGAATGTAAATGAGACCATTTATAGAATGGTCTAATATGCTTCAGCTTTTAGTAATATGACAGGCACTAATTGTCTGCGATCACTTTCTCCGGTGCAAGCTCACCAACGTGGTGGTAATTTTCCGTCGCGTCTAGATACCACTGATGGCCAAAATATAATTCATACAAGGAAGCTGGCTTTGTGACCTCTGTATTTTAGTCAGGATTAACTTATTTCAAATACGTTATCGCTCATCTTTTGTGCATCACATCGGCGACAATGGAAGGTTTTGTTATGATAAACGGTCACACGCGGTGCTGGCAAGACTTATGAATGTTTTTATCTGTGACAAATTGAAATTATTTCCGGTTGTTGAGGAAGCATTGATCATAAAGTATTATCATTTTCGGTCTGTTTCCAAGAGAAATATACGTTGGTTGAAAAAACACACAACGAGGTGTCGCCTAGGAGTGCATAAGGGACAGGTGTCTCGTGGGGTCAAGTGATTACAATGCAAATATGCAGATTGATGTTATCAAATCGAATCAAGATAAGGATGGAAATTCGTGAGAAGCTCGCTAGATGCTCATGAGCCTGTTCGCCGGCTAACAATCATCAAACTTTAGGCACATATGGGGAAAACAGAATTACTGTTTTCTGCTTTTGTTGACATTCTACATCTTCAATAGGGCCGAGGAGCCCTGGTTAATAGAAAGGGTCGCGTTGTCCAGGGATACTTGTCAGCGGTGTTGTTGGTAAACAAACATGGCGGCTGTAGAAGATGTGACAGCGAATCTTCCGTCTCTGCAGTTTGAAGCCGCTTTAACTCTCGATGAAAAGTACGTTTCCTATAAGGGTGTATAATTTGAACGCCTTCGAGCCTTAACTGACGTTATTTGTGGTTGTCTCTGTTGTAGACAGATGCTGTATTTGCGTGGACGAAGTCATGCCTTGACAGTGTCTGCCTGTGCACAAGCGTAAGTAAAAATCAAAGCTCATATCATCAGTTGCTTGTCCTGTTGTGCTGATTGAATTTTCTGCTTTTGAAATTTATGTGATTTCACAACAATTTTTTGATGTGTAGTTAGATATGAAAGAAATGAATTTGCAAATTATCAGACGAATGCCATTGGGAATTAAATTTACCTTTTTTGGCATGAAAGCGGCTTTTCAGCGGAGCTTGTTCATCTGGGAAACTTGCTGCCAGTACTCCCGCTGAATTAATATAACGATGAAGCTCATTAAAGGAGTCGTGTACTCCAATTTCCAAAACGATAATCGTATGATCTGTTGTTTTGTTTTGATGTTTGTGTGGAAGTGTATTTAAAAGGGTAAAATTTCCACACAGCCCCATCCTACATTATGCATTCAGTTCTTGGATAGAGAAAACAGTGACAAAAACAATACATTGCCATTGGGAAAACAGATTTGCTTTACAATAATATGGGGCTGTGCGGAAACTTTACCTTTAAAAGTCTTACGAACAAATGTACGTACAGCTGTAGTTTGTCCTGAATTCAAACTTAACTTCATTTAAAATATAACCAAAAAAACTTGATTTGAGCGACTATGTTTATCATTGTATTCTTAACGGTACGAAGCTTGATTTGCCTTGTCTACAAGCTGGTTGAGTTGTACTCGCACAACATACTGCATACTTTATCCAGTTCTGTATGGTCATTTTTAGGGCCTTTCTGGTAGCCGTTTTAAATGATGCAAGGCAAAAAATTGTGGAAATAAAATATCCAGTGAAGAAAAAGGTATTTTGTTTTAAGTTATAATGTTTTAGTGTGGCCAACATTTCTTATGTTAAGCATTGCAGAAACATTTACAAATGGCATTATTGTGAAATTAAGTTTCAGTTCACTTAATTTGTGGAGAAGTACATGTAATTCTGCTGCTTGTTCTGATTATTGAGGCAGACATAAATTGAGTACTTGGAAGAGATAGTTTGACAGTATTCTATCTAAGTTTAATCACTTTTAGTCATCCAAGCTTCTGCAAGAAGCCCCAAAGAGAGATCCACTTTTGGTAGGAATCATTGGTTGTGGACGCTTAGGAAAACAACTTGCAAGTACACTACTTAAATTCTGTAAGTTGCCTGGTTTAATTTAACTCCTACATTAAAGAGGGAGTGGGGAACTATCACATCATTTGTATACAAAGCAAATTTAACACAACTTGATATTGTATAAATTGATTCATTTCTGCTTATATGCTTTCGAAACAATCTTATTTAGCTTGTGTATAATTTACTGGTGCAATGCAGGGCATCAAATATTGATTAGTGAAAAAAACCTATATAGTTGTTAACATGTATAGTCAAGCAGAATGAAGGGTTCTTTTTATCTTATCTTTGTGCTGTGACCATCACATGGGAACACTAGCACATCCTTGTGTGCTTGGAAAATCTTTGCCAAGAGTATTTTAGCTAACTTATTGTATAGACTACTAATACTGAAACATACATGTTTCAGCTGATGTTCATCCAGAAGAGTTATTTCTCTCAACGAGGCAGCCAGAAACTTTATCTGCCCTTCAGATGAAAGGTGTCCATTGTGGATTTGATAATATAAAGGTCTGTGAACTTTGTAAATTGTTATTTATAACATACTTGTCTTGTGATGAAATTGGTAACTTGAAAAATCACGGCATTAACCTGTTGAAGTCTTAACTTTTGAGGCTTCATTTTCACAATTGCTTGAATCCTTTAACTCCCAGGATCTCATTGTTCATTCTCCCATCTAGCTGCTACACTGAATAAATGTAAAATGGTTTCTGTGTTTACATAGCCTGATGTAAACATGCAGGAGGTTGGGAGAACACGAGATAAGCGTAGGAAACCACGACACAAAGCAGAGTGGTTTCCATGTGGACCACTTCTGGAAGTTAAAGGGTTAACTCCCGTAAGGGACCAAGACAGAATTTCCTCTTTCATTATCACTATGATATCAACCAGATAAGTGATGAGAATAAAGAAAAATATCAATTTGGAGATAATTAATAGATCCAATGCTAAATTCTCTGAACTAACATATTAAGAATTGATGGTGGACAGTAAGGAGAATTACAAATTTGATGTGGGAGTTAAAGGGTTGACAGCAACTCACTTGAAAGGATCACTTTATTAGCAGGTCAACACATAATTTACTTTATCCACATTGTCATTATTACACTAATTTTAAAACTTTTTTAAATCATTATCATCAGATATATATATTTTGTCCTCAGGTTTGCTCCACAGTACACATACTATTCATCTGTTGTTTGCCTTCACAGTTCCCAACAGTAGCCAAGGTACATGTTCAATTTACTCAATGGAATTAGTTTCAAAAATATCTAATCCTGGTGTTAACAAAACAACCACTTTGAAATGCAGCTCAGTGTTATATCATATAATAACTCAAGGCTTTTTGAAAATAACCTTTTCGTAACTATTTATGTTTGAATAATAATTGAAGCATTCTTAATCTATTTAACAACTGGTTTCTTTCTTTCCACTGCAGGAAATCAAGGGACATTTGAAATGCCCTGTGTATGTCTTAGTTGGAGGTAAAGTATTGCATAATGTTTATGTTGCACTTTAAACTTTAACTTTTAGGAACACTTGATTTGGAACTACCGTTGCTTCAGATTTTGATGAAAATAACAATAACACTGGTTTGACAGGTCAATTTTTAGTTTTTAAGAGGAAATTTCCTAACCAAATATATTATAGTAATATTGAATGTTGATCATGTTTAAAATTCACATGAGTTAATATTAGGCTAACTTGAACATAGTCTTTCGTTGGCTGTGAATATATGAAAATCATATATGTGAACTGCGGATTAGTAATTGAATATGACAGCGGTCTTTGCAATAATGAACACTACTTGAGCAGTGGAGGAAGTAGGGCCTGAAAAAAGTTAGGCCTGTGAATATATGAAAATCATATATGTGAACTGCGGATTAGTAATTGAATATGACAGCGGTCTTTGCAATAATGAACACTACTTGAGCAGTGGAGGAAGTAGGGCCTGAAAAAAGTTAGGCCTGCACAGAATGTGATAACGGTGCAGTGCTCAACCAACTGAGGTAACAAGCCAACTGGGAGCTGTCATTATGTTGTTTGGCAATACACCCATGAAGCAATGACTAAGAGACTGTGAATATAAGAAAATCATTACCACAAAGATTGCTTTCATATTCATTTACTAATCCGCAGGTAACATACATGATATTCATATACTCACAGTCTCTTGTTCACCACTACACTGGTTATCATTAATTGCAACCCACAAAAACTCCTAGGTTTGCAACCTGCCAGTTGGAGTTTTAATGGTGTTACATAACTTGCTTTGAATTCTTTGTTTCCCCTTAGCTGAGTGGGGTGGCTGTAATCTAACTGATGTGGATGACTGCACTTTCATATATACTAAAAGAAATGCGTGGTGCATTCCTTTTCTGTTATTTAGAACTTTTGATTTTCTTTAAATCCTTTTTTTCTCGCACACAGGGACACCGCTTTTAAGAATACGCCAACTTCTTGAATATGAGGAGATCATTAAGCCAGATTTTGTATCCTCGAATACGCACGGCAATCAATGCAGATCCTATTTTTAAAATGTGTAGAGTTTTAAGCCCCCTCGTAAAAACCATATAAAAGCAAACAAGAACATCGTTCAGTGAAACATTGAAACCTCAATTGTTTCATCGTTCAAACTTATGTTCCACCTCAGAAGCTAGCTACTTACATCGAGAGAGCCCTAACCTATTACTAACCGAGTTTGAGGTACATGCTCTAAGGGACGGACCGAGTTTTTTTTTCCTCTCAAATTTACATGTATGCCCCAAGTACGATGTATGCCCCAAGTACGAAGTGAGCGGGCCATAAATTCTAAGCGGAAAAAAACTAGATCCCGTAGCTGACTGTGCGGACCGAGAAAAAAGAGCTTAGTAAGTTATTTATTTTATATCTAAATAGAGGGGCAAGATTTCAATTCAAAGAATTTGAATTTAGCGGGCCGCACAGTGAAATACAGTCCGCTGAATTTACCAATCATAGCGCATATTCTTTAACTGCGTCCAGTCCTGGAGAAAACCAGACCCAAATGAAGATTCAAGTAATAACTGGAACATCGGTAAAGACGTAAGTCTTAGTGTTGGTAGTATTCCCACTTCCTCTTTATATGAGCGCAGTCAACAGAGCTGGTCCATTGTCCTTCATGCCCCCCCCCCTCCTCTTTATATGAGCGCCGTCAACAGAGCTGGTCCATTGTCCTTCATGCCCCCCCCCCCTTCCTCTTTATATGAGCGCCGTCAACAGAGCTGGTCCATTGTCCTTCATGCTCCCCCCCTCCTCTTTATATGAGCGCGGTCAACAGAGCTGATCCATTGTCCTTCATGCTCCCCCTTCCTCTTTATATGAGCGCGGTCAACAGAGCTGGTCCATTGTCCTTCATGCTCCCCCCTCCTCTTTATATGAGCGCTCCCCCCTCCTCTTATATGAGCGCGGTCCCCCATTGTCCTCCTCTTTATATGAGCGCGGTCGAGAGCTGGTCCATTGTCCTTCATGCCCCCCTCCTCTTTATATGTCAACAGAGCTGGTCCATTGTCCTTCATGCTCCCCCCTCCTCTTTATATGAGCGCGGTCAACAGAGCTGGTCCATTGTCCTTCATGCTCCCCCCTCCTCTTTATATGAGCGCAGTCAACAGAGCTGGTCCATTGTCCTTCATGCTCCCCCTTCCTCTTTATATGAGCGCGGTCAACAGAGCTGGTCCATTGTCCTTCATGCTCCCCCCCCCCTCCTCTTTATATGAGCGCCGTCAACAGAGCTGGTCCATTGTCCTTCATGCTCCCCCTTCCTCTTTATATGAGCGCGGTCAACAGAGCTGGTCCATTGTCCTTCATGCTCCCCCTTCCTCTTTATATGAGCGCGGTCAACAGAGCTGGTCCATTGTCCTTCATGCTCCCCCCTCCTCTTTATATGAGCGCGGTCAACAGAGCTGGTCCATTGTCCTTCATGCTCCCCCCTCCTCTTCATATGAGCGCGGTCAACAGAGCTGGTCCATTGTCCTTCATGCTCCCCCCCTCCTCTTTATATGAGCGCGGTCAACAGAGCTGGTCCATTGTCCTTCATGCTCCCCCCCTTCCTCTTTATATGAGCGCGGTCAACAGAGCTGGTCCATTGTCCTTCATGCTCCCCCCCTTCCTCTTTATATGAGCGCGGTCAACAGAGCTGGTCCATTGTCCTTCATGCTCCCCCCTCCTCTTTATATGAGCGCGGTCAACAGAGATGGTCCATTGTCCTTCATGCTCCCCCCTCCTCTTTATATGAGCGCGGTCAACAGAGCTGGTCCATTGTCCTTCATGCTCCCCCCTCCTCTTTATACGAGCGCGGTCAACAGAGCAGGTCCATTGTCCTTCATGCTCCCCCCCTCCTCTTTATATGAGCGCGGTCAACAGAGCTGGTCCATTGTCCTTCATGCTCCCCCCCTCCTCTTTATATGAGCGCGGTCAACAGAGCTGGTCCATTGTCCTTCATGCTCCCCCCCTCCTCTTTATATGAGCGCGGTCAACAGAGCTGGTCCATTGTCCTTCATGCCCCCCCCCCCTCCACCTCACCTCGCTTTAGCTTGCAAACATTTCAAATTGTCGCATGAAATTACATTAGAAATTTTCCTAAATGAACACTTCAACCCAGGATGCAACTTGGAGGATCGCCCTCTGTTCAATTCGGTAACTTTGCTGAAAATTCCTTACCGAGCAGAAATCTCGGTGTGCTAAAAGGGCTAAAATTTCCCATATGAACAGTAGACAAAGTTTTTTCCTGTTAACCAATCCAAACCGATCACTGGGATCGTATGAATAATTCTTTAGGTTTATCTAGTGTGTGCAGAGTAGTCGTCTCGACTTCTTCTCCGGAGAAACCCGTTACTGAAGTATTGTTTTGTTTTCGATAATGTCTTTCTATTCCAGAGTGTTCCATGCCAAAACTTCAGAGTGCTTTTCTTTATGTCCTGAAATCAATGTCACAGTTTATTTACATTACCTTTGAGGGGTACAGTGTCTAATAAACTTGATTTGTTTTTCTCCTTCAGATAAACGAAATTCTTCGCGAAGATCCTAACAGTTGTGATGTCACCTGCCCGCTTAATCTCAATAAAGATTGTAAGTGCATGTAACGTATTGACGTCTTCTGTTACAGTGGACTAAAAAACGGCAAATGGAATGTTGAGGTTTCACAAAATGAAAGACGGAATTCATGGGTCACGTATATTTCAGGAGGAAAATCACGCCTCACATTTTGTACTGTAGCAGTTACATTATATGTAAACTCGTTGTTTTTTGATTGGCAGCTGCTATTGTGGAGACGGGAGAGGATTGGGCCGAGTTGGCCGTGGTGACTTTCCTTAACATGTGTACTGAAAAAGAGCTGGACATGGAACAGTCTGTGAGGTACTTAAAAGTGCAAAAGTACAAAAAAAAATCTGAGACGTTTTCAATTTGCTCCGCATATTGTAGAGACGTCGTAAAAGAAAGTAGTTCTAAAGAAGTGATTTATTTTGTGAAAGTTAAAGTCCACTTATCCTCGTGTTACTTTGCAGGATACTCACCCTAAAATAACAGTATAATACCTACTATAAAAATTCAAAAAAACCTTGGTACACGCTATTCACATTACGTACATTTCTTGATAAGCTTATTTTTAATCTTATGTTAAAACTGTCCACTTCGTCTTCATAAACTTCATATTTTTATGAGTAGGGTCTCGCGCGACATTCGTTTCGTACTTAATTTGACTGTTGCAGTTATTAAGTCAGCAAAGCTTGGCCCCTGCTGCATTCCCGTAAGTAAAGTTTTGCAGTAAGTCTTATCAGCTTTGTTTCATGTATCTTCAGGCTTTGTAACACAATCGTGTTTGGTATGGGTCCTACAGATGACCGTGGTGATGGCATCTCTGTGGATGAACTTAATTCCGATATAAATTTGTTAGGAATAAGGAACAGTACCTCAGATGAAAAGTAAGGCTCTAAGTTATCTTCGATGTAGTAGTTGTCAGTGACTCACTTTCTCTCAGTACTGGAACAACCAGATCTTATCGTCCACTGAAACTCCGATTGAAATAATACAGTGATAACAATTTAGAGATTACGGCAACATGAAAGTAGAGTATATCAGTATCTCATTGCAGAGAAAAGTGCCACATTCTTTCTTACTGAATAAGTACAGTATATCAGTATCATATTGCAGAGAAAAGTGCCACTTTCTTTCTTACTGAATAAGTACAGTATATCAGTATCACATTGCAGAGAAAAGTACCACTTTCTTTTTTACTGAATAAGTACAGTATATCAGTATCACATTGCAGAGAAAAGTACCACTTTCTTTTTTACTGAATAAGTACAGTATATCAGTATCTCATTGCAGAGAAAAGTGCCACATTCTTTCTTACTGAATAAGTACAGTATATCAGTATCTCATTGCAGAGAAAAGTGTCACATTCTTTCTTACTGAATAAGTACAGTATATCAGTATCGCATTGCAGAGAAAAGTGCCACATTCTTTATTACTGAATAAGTACAGTATATCAGTATCACATTGCAGAGAAAAGTACCACTTTCTTTTTTACTGAATAAGTACAGTATATCATTATCATATTGCAGAGAAAGGTGCCACTTTCTTTTTTACTGAATAAGTGCAGTATATCATTATCACATTGCAGAGAAAAGTGCAACTCTCTTTCTTACTGAATTTCATACCCATAAGAAAACAAACAAAACTAAGATTTCAAACCTGGAAAAGTATTTATATGCTCACAGAGAGCCTGGAAGTATGTCTGGAAAAATTTACCTAACCTCGCTCGCCAGACCTCTCGAGTAAGAACAACACGGCTGGAGAAGTACTGGCCACTGAAATTTCTTTCCAAGGATTAGAGAATCATCTTACTTGAAACTGAAAACGAAATTCTTATCGATGCGTTTTTGTTCAGATTCTTCCCGCGTTTCGATCTCAGCAAGATCTCTTTCGGTCGGAGTAAATTTGGAAAACGTCTCATGGAACCTAATGGAAGTCTGAGGCGAATGTTTGTCAAAAGATACAGAGCTGTGTTTGACAAGTAAGGAGATTGAACATTATTTTATTTGATAGATGTAAAGAATGTAGACCGCAGGATTCTGGGACGATTGAACTCACACCGAAATTCTTAGAAATTGTTCACCTTGTGAAGAATTGTGGTAAATTTTATGAGCAAAGCTTTCCTTGTCATTGTCACTGGACGTAAGTAAGCGGTTTCCCAATTGATAAATTAATAAGCTGCCCATATGTCGGTATCTTGTTTTCGCCCGCTTCCGCAAAAACTCGTCATATAATCTCCAAGCCCATTGCGACTTTTCCGCCAAAGAAATTAAGGTTCTTGCGCGCTCACTGTTAAGGTTATGGGAAGGTCTAAAACTTGCACTCACCCTCGGATCTAGAGACCAAGGTCGCTAACATTATAGGGGGGCGGGGGTCGGTGTATACGTCTTCTTTCCTCGAGTGAGAGATGCTGTTAACAACACCAGGAAAAATTCGTGTGTCTTAGCGGCCATGTAACATTCTAGTCTACCCATAGATGGTGATTAGGTTTTCAAAGCCAAATACATGATTTTAAGACGCATTAAAAGGGACCTGATCACCCGCAGAAGAGCCGCCTTCGCTTCACTACTATTTTAAAGTGGGAGGTAGTTTACCTTTTTCACTTTTTATTCAACGTGCCACCCGCCCCACCCTACCCACCCCACCCCTACACAAACTTTACCTCCAATCCACCCTTGGAAAACATACTGAAGAACTGACGAACAAACATGCAAGCTGTGATATGTTTACTAAGAAAGAGATTGGCAAAGATTCGTTTCATCCTCTTTTGTGCTAAAAATTAAAATTCATGCCCGCTTACAACTCATCAAGAATGGACATGATTTTCCCTTTTTTCACCTACTTTTGGAAATCATCGTTGAAATTTGTAACAATGTATTGAATTAAATGAAAGAAAGTACTTTTTCTATTCAGCATATCAGTAGTACAGTTGGCAAGAGAACGTTCCTTGAGCCGAGTCCTAGAATTATCTTACTGATAGTATACGACGGAATACTCCAGCGTAGGAAAGTTTCCGCAATGGATATGATCCGACTGAATTAGCTGCTTTTCGCTTCAGTTTTTTTTTCTCTGTTTTTATTAATTTTTTTTGGCTTTTTTCTTTTAGGTTCCAGTATTGGAAAGGTGTTCCTACGAATGTGTCATAATCGAAATACCTGTAATGTTTAAGGCTTAATTCCCATGTAGATGTTGTGTCATGTTACCCTCTGCGGCAAAGTCTTCGTACCTATAATTAACTTCAAGGGGTATGCTTCGTGTTGCTAAATGACTTTATATTAGGATTGAGAAAGACCACAGATCCAGAATATTATATAAAGATGAAGAAAAAAAGTAATATTTAAGAGTGACATTGAGGTGATCACATCACTAACTGTGTTATCCTGTTGCGACGACATTCTGTTGTTCTCATGTTTATTTTAAGATAAGTAAAGGGAGCACTTTTATTGCAGTTTAACACTCACATAGAATTGCTCACATTTTTTTTCGGTCTTTTTATAATTATTTTCCAAGAATTGTTTTACATTAGTATATGAAGAGCGATAATGAAAATTTAACGTTATCCTTTATCATTGGATTATTGAAGAAATTTATGCTCTATGTTTTTGTCAAGCAGATTCAACCTTGGGTTGTAAATCTCATCATTAAACTTAATATTTTTGTTATCATGTTTTCCACTCATTCTTAAAATTTTCCAAAACTCCTCTTGTTATATTAGCCGCAGATGTTTTGACGTTTTTCAAGAAACTTTGTCGAGTTGAACTTACAAATTGCACGGATGGGCTAATTAACAAAACATAACAATTTTACCAATTAAAAGCTCGTTGTCGTTAGTCGGAATGTTTGTCTTTGAGTTTAATGTTTATCCGCCTCTTACGGCTGTTAATCGAAAAATGGGAATGATGCAGATTTAGGAATTGATGCAGCGATTTACTTTCCACTGGTATATTATTAAATGCTGTCTTGTATATGGTAATGATATTTCTTGAATACCTCGAAAGAGTTTGTATGTCGACTTTTTCATTCTTTTATGTATACGGACTTCATGTTGTTATCCGTTACAAATTAGAAACAATGCTCGTTTGTTGAAAACTGCTCACTAATTCGCTCGCTGTACAGTGTTTTTGTTTGCAATAGGAATCATCTGTCACTTAACAAAAAAAAAATTAGCTTGGCCAAGTTCAGTAATTGCGAACGTGGAGGAGTAATGCATTACAAGCTCCACTGGAAAGCATGCGAATCAATAGTTGGTCGGCTTGGCATAAACCGACAAATTAGCAGCTTTCTTGAATTAAGCGCAACCTTTTTGTAGATGAATTGCCTGCCTCCTTCCACCCGCCCTTCATTCTTGTCAGAATTCTCTGGCAGCAAATGGCTGCTGTATTTTGAATCTTGACTGACATTTACAGGGGCTTTGTTAAAATCCGACTCTGTAATTGTAGATATTTCTAAATCTATCAACATCCTTTCTTGACAAACTTATACGAACCATGATATTAAGCTTAACTTGATTTGAGACAATGCCCCTGAAACTTTAAATTCGTGTCTCCAATAATAAAAAAAAGACTGAGGAAGTAGTGCAGATTGTTACTGAAAGCAAGCCCTTAAGTTTTTACAATTTCGGAGGTTTGTAGTACTGTCTGTATAATAACGAGGGTATACTTAAAATCGAGATTTGGTAGCAGATTAATAAAACGTCGTGAGATTGGAAAATAATGGTAATATTGTTAGCCGCCATTTTGAAAGGATTATTCGAGTTTATTATTTTCTTGCTCTGTTGCTCTGTTGCTCGTGATGATCGTAACTCACGTGTAGAAACACGCGCGTTGCATTATATAACATCTAAATTTAAAAGCAGGACTCTTAAATTGGGTTCAGACAGTATCATGATTGTGTAGGCTGTTTTCAATGGATCTCCTTAACTATCTCACCTGCACCTCTTGTACGATAAATATAATAATTGCAGCGGGGCGGAATTTCCTGTCAGTTGCTGTTAAATTTTTTACAAATTGTGTAAAGTTTGTTATTTCTCTAATGGTCTTTGAGTCACAACAAGTATCCTTGTCATTTATTTCGAAGCAATTGACGAGGAAACAGAAAATCGGAATATGTATCTATGGAACAGGGTTATTGGTTACTAAGCAAACATTTGTGCTGTGTTGGCGGGCAAGTGTAACGGTTTGTTCTTTAACAACTGTTAATTGATAAAGGTGAGGGGAACTGCTTTGAAAAGCTGACGTTTAGAGCGCAAGCCTTTATTCGGAGCAATCCTAATTATATGTAGCACGAGCTCTGTAAATTCATCAAAGATGCGTTCTCTTTTAGTATAACTTTTTTTGGTTGACTCAGTTTCCGTTTTAATATTGATTTTCCAAGATTTCGTAAATTTGAATAGGCTTAGCAGACAAAGTGTTAAGTTTCCAAGAGAAGATAGTACCCTGCTCTATGCAATACGCATACTTAGCCAGCCTCCGTCGCAATTGGTAAATTATTGATGCCAACACACACCAGGGCACATTTGCGGCAGTATTTTCTTCTTTAACTTGTAAAATGTAAGTGGAAGTTTTTTATGCCTGCAACTGAGTGTTCTCATCCCCTCAGTAAATCGTAGCAATAAAAATTGATTAGAACTTTAGCTTGTGATCTCAATAAATTTTTGGAAGCAACACTCCAAAGCAGTCCGTGAAAGAGATCTGTTGCGACTGCTTCTTCCCTCAAGTTTGCCACATCTTTGAAGTCTATAAGATCTCATGCTGCTACGAAGATTTTTTCATTTTTCTTAATTTAGTGCTCTATTTTACGCTTTCGAAGCGACGACTGCACTTTGGAGCCAATGTTCTCGTGACGAAACGATCTCGTGTATTGTTATTCTAGATATTTTTACCCCTAGTGTTTGTTTCTTTACGACAAAATATTTTGGTCCTCCTGGAAACTTACTCTTGCCATCAAAACTTTGAAATAAACAATTTACTTTCAATTTCAATTTAAGGATCAAAATTTAAAGCTGCCAGACAGGGATTGTCGAAATTCAATTTTAGATTAGAGCTTCCAATGTGAACTTTTTTTGGGTGAATGGGGCAGTTGGAGACGTGCTTTTGGCACGGGCTGAATTAAATGAGAACCCAAACAGAATTTTTGATAACTCAGTTTTTTTTTCCGGCAAATTATGATATTTTAAACATTGGACTGCCAAGTCGAGCGAAAGATTTCCGTTAAGAGAAGAAAGAAAGAAAGGATCATGTCTGAAAAACAGATACTCACGCAAGAGCCACACCCGAGCCTCAATGTTATCTGAAACGTGAGGCAATAGAACATCATAATTTTCCCTTCAAACGTCTCAACAACTCCTAAGCTCCCGTTTTATTTCGTATTATCTCATGGCTGAATTTTTTCCTAGCGGGGGTAACAAAGTTGTAATCAGCTGAAGGATGCATTTTGTAATTGTCAGCTCAAGTAATACGCTAGCCTGTTATTAACCGCAAACTGATTACAGGTAGAAAATTTGACAACTTTCCAAAACTTGATTTTATCTTTCAGATAATAAAGCATTGAAGCAAAATGAAACAGATAAATCTCTTATGCCTTGTAGAAATTACAGAAGGTAATATCTTGAGACTCTTTCTATCATTCGATGAAGAGAATGCCCTTCAAAGAAAGAATTTCTTAATTTTCATCTAAAAACAAAGAATAACAAGTGACCATGACACTGAGGACATTTATTACTTTTAGTTCGCCCAAGTCCAAGCCATTTGCTATTCTTTACAGGTTATCCGTCTAGCGGCCACAATTCAGTTAGTATAAGAAAAAAATTGAATGTTCTTACGGAGAGTTAATCCAATCGCGTTTTTTGTCAGGTAACACAAAATTTAGGTTAATCCTTTTCAAACACTATCATCCTTTTTGATACATCAAATTGAAGATGGTATTGAGAGTGTGAAAATAGGTTTTCGAAATTAATAATACAATATTGGAAATAGAACAGTCCTTCATCGCATTTGGCATTCAAACAGTGCTTTGTTATTGAAATGCTCCGGTCAGCAAGCTAAAAATGCGTTTGAATGTATGTAGGCACAGACAAAATTTCTTAAAACAGAAAAGTCAATATATCTTAGAAATTTCTGTGGTAAACAATTCTTTTTACTCCAACAATCTACATCATTTGGAAACTCGCCATAGTTTGGTTGTTGTGGTTTCCATTTTGTTATGGCAGTCTGCGATGTAAATTCTTATTGCTTTCGCCTAACAGGCAGGGCAGGTGTTTCGGAAATGCCAGTTGATGAATTCGCCACCATGAAAACAGTTACAAATTAATTCAAAGTTGTGCTTTTCACCCAATTTTTTCGTTTGTTAAAAAAGGTTGAAGAATCTTTCAATATCAATAGAATAAACAATATTTCCTTTCTCTCAGGATAAATTTGATTGTTCGGTACATATAAAAAAGAGTTCCTCCATGTCCAGTGAACACGTCTTAATTGTTGGCCTTAACTTGGTGCGATAGCTAACAGTAGCACAAAAAGCATTATGACTTTCTATATATAAACCAGTTTTCAAGAACTTTGTAATTTGAAAGTACACAGGAGATTTATATAAATATATATATATATTTTTTTTTCCTCGTCAAAAAGAGGCGCTCTTTGATGAGAAAACAAACGGTGTATGTACTACATATTTTTTTCAAATTGCAACGTTTTTGAAAACGGGTACATATGTATATATACATATATCTATGTGTGTGTGTGTGAGTGTATATATAGAAATATATATTTTCGCTTCTGATTTGAAATCTATTTTTGAGTGTGTACTTTCACCTGTAGCCTTTAGAAGTTAGAAATGAGTATGCCCTCTATCGTCATCGCATTTAATTGGAGTACTTTAATTAACACGAGTAATTTCGGCCAGGGTTTTTGAAATGTTGGAGTATCAAATGACAAAATTCAAAGTATGCGGACTCAAGGCGACCTTTTTCACTAAACAATAGGGGCAATAAATTGAGGTAAAGAAGGTCTTCGAAAACCCTCTAACTTTAGAAATGCTTTCTGAGCTGTTGCTAATCAACAAATGTATAAAACGTTTTCATTCCATCAAGTTTCTCTTATAATTTTTTAAACTATTTTGCGATAACTTCACGCTTATAGACTTATGAAGCGGATCCTACTTCTCTTTCGATCATCACAGAGCTGCATAGCCATAAAAAATATATATCCTCATGGTAGACTAGGCCACCATGATGATAGAGCAGGATCTGGTATTGTTGACTTTAAAATGCTACTGTACCTAGCCTCGCAAACAAAATCTTTACTCTTAAATTTCAATTTGGTTTTTATTTTTTTATTATTACAACTTTTTCTAATTTTTTCAAGGTTTAGTTGCACTGTTTTGAGAGATTGACAAAGTATTGACAATCAAAAGGCCGTTCACCCCTTCTCTTGCCTTTGGTTATTTTCTTTACTAATTAGCAAAAAATGCATCCAAAGTGGAATTGAAATCTTTAACTAGGATGGTTGTATCGATGGTGATGATCTTCGTCATGTTGCCTCCCTTTAGAGCAAGAATCGAAGATAGCAAATATCATTTTACTTAGCGTCTCTAAAGTATCGTTTAGTCAAATAGGCCTATAGATAGTTGCTGTGATCACGTTTTTCATTTAGTAGATGAAGATTGTCTTACATTTTAGAACTAGTGTTAGTTCATTTAACTTTGCTGGCAAGTTTGATCTACTCAGTGTTTAAGGCGTTATTGTTTTGGTTAAACTAAATTCAACTTGAAGTGAAAATATTTTTAAACAGATTTACCTTATTCTCTGAATCCTTCCTAATGCGCCAGAGCGCCCATTGGTATTTTACCTTGAAATTCTGTTAGGAACCTGATCCGGGAATTTAATCTCTCTATGGTATCGCGATACAAAATGATATATACTGATAGAGAAAAGGTTTCGTTTGGTATATCACTGCGGCTCCACTTGCTATTCAGTTGATTGCAGTGTGTTGGTTGTCGTATTGTTTCACCATGACACAAATTCAGGTATCTGTTTTCTTTAAGACAGGTTGAAGTATTTTGAGAGATGGGCTTCATTGTTACTTGGTTAAAACGCGAGTCATTTCTTACAAGCCTTTTGGAATCGATTCCTACCGTTTATCCCATCCCTCAGGTTAATACGAGTGTCGCGTTTTGTCTAATAAGAACGGTTGACCAACAGACAACATTAAATGGCAAACAAAGTAACGCTTTCTGTTTAAAACAACCTCTTTATTCATTAATCTCTTCTTTTCTGGAAGAATTGCATGCAACTCGTGTATAAATGAAATAAAACTACGTACTTTACACTAGTTGAATATTATGGTTTGACGTGCTGAGAAATAATTTTATAGACAAAGTTTAGAATATTTCAATATCATCTTCGAACTCAAGGGTCATATGTTTACAAAAACGAATGACCGGAAACAAGTTTTTATGGTGTTTAAAATACAGAAGTTTGCAGCGTGTTTTCACTAACTTGGCTGATTTCCTTCAGCGAGGAATGTTAGTTCCTAGTTGGCTTTGCGAAGCCATGGGACATTGTCCGTGTCCATAGTAAGACTTAAAATACGAGCTTTGGAACGGGGAAAATAAGGGTGCCTTTTCTTGAGCACGCTCAGACATGGTGTGAGCTTGATAACTTGAAGTTGGAGAAACAAGTGCCACTGGAACGTGACTGTGATGCGGATACTCGCTAGGTGGAATATGAGGATCCTGGCTTGGTAGAGAGTATCCACTTGGAATGTATGGGCGTTTAGTAACGGTTGCTGTGGGTGCGTTAACCAACGGCATCACGAAGGCTTCACTGTAAGGAGGAACGTGAGGGCTGAGGTAATGATGCATTGGGTAGCTGTAGCCGGGCGAGAGGACATCGAAGTTGGAGCTGTAACCAAACGTGGCGTAGGTGTCTTTGCTGCGAGCATTTTTGTTCTTCCTTCGACGCGGTTTGTAAGAGTAGTCTGGATACTTCTGGCTATGAATTGAGCGCAACCGCTTGGCCTCCATCACGAAGGGCTTCTTCTCTTCGTCGCTTAAGCGACTCCACTCGGCTCCAAGTAGTTTGCTGATTTCACAGTTCAGCATGTTTGGATACTTGAGAGCAAGTTTGCGGCGTTCAGTCCTTGACCAAACCATGAAGGCGTTCATGGGACGTTTTATGTGCTCATCTGTATCTGCCATGTCTCTTTATCTCAAGCTTGGTCTATCTGCAGGTTTTGGGCGCGTACTCTGGACTCTTTGCGTGTAAATGGTACTTTCCGTCAGAAACGCTTCGTTTTGATACTTCAATCAACGGTGCTGAGCAGATGAGAAGATAAGAAGGTGTTGTGGATTTATCACCGGACTTTCGACTTGTTTCAATATCGCGCGTTCACAAGTGCACATGAAGCTGTTCAACCCTTCAAATGCCTCGTCGAATTTTCGGTACTTCATATAAGAGAGCCCAAACAATAAATACAATGAGCTCGTGAATTATTTATGTAATTCTGTGCGGGAGTTTAGCGTACTGAGATCAGCTGCAGAGTTGTGAAATACAGCTGGCACGTTGAAAACAATAGCTTTTTAATGGTCTTAAGTTTTGCTCAAAACACCTATTTAGGGGCTAAAACTGATCCGAAAACTATGAAAATCTATTAAATTTGAAATCGAAAATTAAATTTATATTAGTTTGGGATCCATCTCATTTTTTACCATCAGATGATAATCTCAATAATGGAGGGCGAATAACACTATTTATGCGATAAATTACAGATATACTTGCCAAGGAATATTTTTCATTTGCTCCTTTAACTATTTCCGATAGATTCTGTTTTTAAGCCTTAAATTTTAGTATTCAATAGTCGCTGACAGCTAGCTGGTAGGGGGATTCAATGTTTAAAGAATAAGTAAAAAAGCACACAATGAATAAAACAAAAAAAATTGTCTTCCTCATAAACATATGTCACCAGGGTAAGCCGAACAAAATTAACTATGAAATTAAAAAAAAGAGCAAAAAAAATGGAATGAATCTGAAAAAGCTATTTCATTTGCATGCAAAATTCTTGTGATACTATTTTAATCTAATACCTGAAAACTGGGTGGATTTTCATTTAAAAAGGTCACCAGTAAAAGCATAGTGAGAGCTCCAAGGAATTATTTCGCCCTAACCAAGGGCGATGGCAATGATGCCAATGTATGAATTTGTTTTCACAAAAACCATTTGATTCAAATGAAAATAGAGGGCTTTTCTAAAATATTCAAATAGTGATGCAAGTTTACTGAGAAGGTTTCAGTGGAATAGCTTTTTTTCAATTGGGGTGGTACAGACATGTTGAATTTGACACAAAATCAGGGAGGCTTTTCCCTCGTTGAAAACCAATTACCAAGAATTCTTCCTTCTGAGAGGTACCTGCTGGCTGTCCTTTCATTAACGACCTTGTACAAAGACTAAATAAGCATAATTAATAACTTCGAGACAGCAATGGCGATAGGCTTTTTAAACAATGTTTATGAGTAAGCGCATACAATAAACGATTTGCAATCGATTCTTCCACATTGCTTAAAACGCGAAAACGAGAAGCGGAAAATCGATAGAATCCTTCCTTGGAGTCTTTTTGTTTTGTTTTGTTATTTTTGCAAAGGAATCGGCGAGATAGCTGTATTTTGAGTTACAGTTTTTAATTACACGTGATTAAACATGGGATCTTTTTTTTTTTGCTAATTTGAATCTCATTTAAAGAAATAGTTGTTGTGAGTGAGTGTGTGTTTTTTCACCATCGTGAAGAGTTAATTTCTTTGTACACATCATCAACTATTACAGCGCTTTAAACAAAGGAAGAGCGTATCAGACGAAAAAATCAGCTCACAGTTAATTTGTGTAAACATATATAGCTGCTGTTTATAACAGTTTTATTCTGTTAATGAGCGCTTTTGTGCGAGAGGCAGGCAAAACCGAAAGGAAAGTGTTTTCCTTCTGAGAAGAAATTAGTTGAGGTTTAAAGATGAAGACTGAGAGCCTTGACAGAGTTTGCTTTAAGTATTTTAATGGATGCGATAAAAAGAGCTGCTGCCCGTTTCTTTTTTAATTTTATGTTATCTTTCTTTATGACACACGACCGCAAGAGTAAACATACTATCAAAGGCTTTCTTGACTTTCTTAGCGTTAAATGTACCAACTAATCTTAGTCAAAAGGTACACGCAGTCCTTTTCGCGGACATGTTCAAATATATACTTAGGTTGTCTTGTATTTCGTAATAACATCGCTAAATTGAGTTCCATACCTTGCATTGTTATGTAAAATGAACTGAATGATCGTTCCCAGCAGACGATAATTGTTTTTCCTCAATCTTTTTTTTCACTTCCTAATTGGAAAGGGGATAACAAAGGTTGGTAATAAACCGAAGTTATTCGTGCAAACACTTTGGTCACTCTTTGTAATTTTAAACGACTTGCGGGAATTTCTAAATCGCGCTAAACAACTTATTCTGCTTTAATCGAACTGGTGCGAACTCTGAGAGTTTCAAATTAAATAACACCTTTACTAAGGCTTTCAACCAGGTTCTTCGAAGTTTAAGTAATATATTGTCACGATCGAGGCGTAAAAGTGTTAAAGCTTTCAGCGCCCCGCTGCTCGTGTTTAAATGGATTAACATTAACACACATAGCCACAAGATATTTTATGATAACGGATAAGTTGAATGTAAAATTTTGGCTTTAAGCCTGAGATTTGTTTCAATTCTGCTTGCGGTTATTATCGAGGTTGGTACAGTCTTATTTCCCATTGAACCTCAATTGAAATTTGGGGATTTGCCCATAGGCTTTACCAAGGTCAGCCATTCTTTACAACTGAATGATTTTAAGTCTTTCTTCCTGATAGACTTCACCAAATTTCAGAGTTAGGTATTGGACAAATCGTCTTACGTGGGTGAATTCTCTTCTGTTCTTCGTGTATTCCATTCAAAAGGCCTTTCGCCTTATATTCACTTAATATTTCAATATCGTTGACTTTTCTTATGAAACCCGCTTCGTGGTGTTGTAGCATTTTAATTAACGAATACTGACTGTTGTGAAATAGCTGATTGTAATCTTCGTTGCTTTTAGCAACCATTGTATTATGGTATCGACTAAAGGCAAAGCCAGTCACGATAGAAGAATTATTTGTGTTCCTCCAAAAATGACAGTGTGTGTTTAATGTTAAAACCTGTCCTTAGCATTCGTATGGACGCCTTTCCATTCCTTCTTAGTTGTGTTCTATAGAATACTCATTACATGATTTCATATTCCTGATTCCTCGGCTTTGTGATATCAGACAATTACGGAATAGAGACGACAACGCTACTTCTGTAAAGAATACTCTCAAACATTCCTCTTTTCTTAAGACCCTTCTTACCCACGATGGCGATGTTTTTGTCTTCGAACCGTGTTTAAATAGTATTTTTGCTTCTTATTAACGTGCAGACATCCTGGCTATCTTCCGAAGCCATTCTTGTTTCATTGTTCAGGAACCATGCTCTGAACACGACTTCTGTTATTCAAAAGTGGGCCATATTCAAAATGTGTTAATGGTTCTTCTTTAAAAAAAAAACTATTATCTTAAATTTACTGCCCAGCAACAGAAACATATGTTTCTGTTCATAAGTAAAGAATTATTGAAGTGGAAAAAAAATTCATTTTACGCTTTTTCTATCCAGCGATACAAAGTTTATGAAATAGTCACTGGGCAAATTGATTTCGCCACGAACTGTAAAATTAATCTTACGTAAACGTAACTCACTTGTCTCAATATTTAGTCTTGGTCTTTTGACAACACAAAACATTGTATAGACAACATATGATATAACAATATTGGACTTTATTCGTTTGTAAATGCTAATATCTTTTTAAAAGACCCCTCTAACATAACAGATAACTTGGTTTGTGACTTTTTAGGTAGAGGCACCAAAGAACAGATGGATTTTTATCTTAAAACAAATTATTAGAGCAAATAATAAAGTAAACCACTTAGAAGGGTGATCAGGGTTTTGTACACCGCGTAAAAAAGTCGCAATCACAATAAGAAAATCGGGTCATAAATTACGCGCAGATATGTTTATTTAATATTCCATAGGGGTAAATTCCCAAGAAAGTAAATGGTTGGCTAGAAAACTTTGTGTATAAAGAGGATAAGATTCCCAATGATACTTTACAATTAAAAAGGAAAATAGTTTAAAGGGATTCATCTTTGATAGCTGATGAACTGAAAAAATAATTCGTTTCTTCTACGCTTGAATAATCTTCTACAGTCTCTTTCAATTTTGCAGTTTGCGATTAAAGGTGTAGATATCGGCAACATGTACATGTCGCCCCAACAACGTATTAGCAAGCTGATATTTATTTCGTAAACGTGGTTTAAATTGTATGGCAAAGTTTTTATCATGTAAGTGAGGTTATTTTTCACTCCTATCCTGAAGAACGCCTCTTGTTCTTCCCTAAATTATATGATGAATGACTTGAATTTTTCATCTCATTTTTAGTGGGAGCAATTAAGCGATAGTACAAATTGTAAATCTCCTACTTAACAAAAGCTTAATTTGCTTCTAGGTATCTGTTTCCCTTGTTTTGCTGAAAATTTGGGCTGGATCCAAAGCGCAATGTCTTCTTACAACTTTGTTACACGAAAACGGGTTTCGTCTTCAGAGTAAAAAAGAACCACTGGTATTTCATAACTTGAGTAATTACAAATCTTTTTCATTTCTGTCTTTTCCACCTCTGGTATTCTCATTGTTGCCATTTTAAGGTACAACTCAACAACTTTCGAACAAACTGCTAAAATGGTGCATGCCTTCTGAACACTGAATTAATGATATCGCCCACGTGGGCAACCATGAATACTGTTGAATGGTTCAAGGTTGTTTTTTTCTCCTTCGAAAGTTTGCAGATGTCTTATGTGATGGAAAATGTTCAAAATTAATTTGGTTTTGGATAAACAGTGTCTCCTCTCGCCACACGCTTACCTGCTGTATACTGTGTACTTCCACACACAAAAACAAACGGAAAAACGTACTTGTAAGTATGTGGCTCCGTTCCTGTTCAAATACACGCTTCTTTTGTTTACACACGAGGGAACTTGTGGGTAACATGTGAAGGGTTTCCACTAAAGCAAAGTGCTGTAAGCATAAGTTTCAAATGTTGTTTTGGCCCAAAACTATTAAGAAATTCGAACGTAGAAATTTTCTTGCAATAACATGGTAAATCACACCTTTGAAGATTGTGCGATATCTGCAAAAAGGTAGTGAATTGCATTTAGTTGTCGATGTTTGTACATGCATGGACAAAACTTCTCTTGTTAACCAAAATTGGCAGTACCGAAAGGAAGTATCGAGCAGAAAAGCAATATACGTCTGTCTTTGGCGTACAAGAACTGTGCCGTTTGTTAAAAAACCTATTATTGTTTAAGTTTCCCTTTTTGTAAACCCTGCACAATGCAGTTAATTATCTCCTATGCATATATGTAAAAGTACACCCGTAACAGTTTTTATCGTATCTTATTAGAAACTCGTTGCGTGAATTTTACATCATAAGATGTGACAAATATAAGGCCTAAAATGTCGCCATTATTTCTGACACGTGCTAGTTCAATTTTTTCTTCTTACTTTTAAGGAGAAGTGTCAATGTAATGCACGTCATTTTTTAATTAGATGGCTTTCAAATGTGGTTTTTCCGGGGCAGCCAAATTTAAATAAAGCTTGAGAAGGTGTCACTTTTTTCGGGTCGTTTTGTCACGGGTCGTTGCTAAAACTCGCCTCTTCTTAGGCAGAACTCTTTGCACTCTTCAACTTCTTGAAGTCATTAAGCATGATTGAGTTTTGCAAGATGATTGAGTTTTTCATGCTTGTTTGATAACAGCGTGGTTGTTGATGGATCTGTGCAAAAAAAACTAGTTAAATTACGCTTAAAATATTCTTTACAGATAGATTCAGGTAATCCGTCTTAAAGAAAAGAAAGTTAATATTTGAATGCCTTAAAAGACAAAGAACTATACTGGTGACTCAGTTCTTAGAATCCTGCATGTATGTGTGAGTTCTAAACTTGCGCAGAGCGTAAGGTGTTTCTAGGTGTTTAAATCTTCTGGTTAAGTTTCAATTTCAAAGTTTTAACCATTTCTGAGTTTTTAACGTACTGCTTTGTAAAGAATTTGCATGAAAGAAAATTTCTCTGTGAATCAGACCTGCCTAAGATTAGATGCACCGTCTTTTTTTAGAGCTCACCTATAAAATGTTTCTTTGATTTAGCAGGCAGCTGAACTGAGTGGTACATATCACGCAGTTTTAATGAGTCCCTTCCCTGTTCTCTTTCTATCATTTTTCTTTTATCATCATCACTGTTATTCTGATCTTTCTTTTCCGTTATTTTTTTCCTTCCTGCCTCAGTGCGTTCTCTTTCAAAGTAATCGTTCCATTTTTCACAAAGCAAAATACTTAATGCGACCAGGTTAAAAACAAAACAAAAACAGGAACAATAATTGGCTCAAGGTAACGACAAAACCAATTATTTCTATTGTAACTGTACCTCTTGTACTTTTCTTTCGAACTCCAAACAATTCACGGCATCAAATGGCTCAGTGATTTCTACAAATTTCTGTTTCTGGTGTTTCTAATTCTCTAAGAGTTTTTCAGCTGCTCTTTGTATCATAAACGAAGTCAAATAGCGTGATACATATAAATGATACTTAGGGTATAATATGTAACATCTCCAAGGTATCCGCTCGAATACATGATAGTATGCTACTAGATAAATCAAGCGCTTTCATTCTGTCGCAACCAGTCCCTTGAGAGTTAGACCAAAGAGGTGTACGAAGCCTCGTTAAAAGTATCACATTCGCTATCTCTTTAGTCTACTCTCCCAAATTGTATGAATTTAGGTCATCTACTTGACTTGTCACCTGAGAAATTTGACCTGCGATTTTTTTTTTGTTTTTTTTGTTTTTTTTTTTTGTTTTTTTTGTTCTTAAGGAGGTTTGGTGATCATAAGCCTGAAGTTACAGTATTAGTGTCTTCCTATGAAAGAGCCTAGAGCTAAGAATTGTTATTCAGTATTCTCGTGGCCGCACAACCACTAGAGATGCATTGACATGATAGACATTAAAAGAACAGAAATACTTCAATTCTGCGCTTCAGTTACATATATCTTTTGCACCAATATGCGAGATTTAGGCATCTCAGGAAAGAATCGTAATGACGGTAAACAAAGGCACCCTTAACGTCTAGTTCACCGACATTAGTTTAAGAGGTGTGTAGTTCTCGTGAGACAAATTTCTCATCAAAACAATATAATCTGATAAACAAAAAGACTAGTTGTTATATATTTTAGGAGCAATTTCTTATCGAGAAGGGAACTATTCAAACAATATGAACGAAAATGCCATGTTTTAAAATTTTATCTATACGTTTCCGGCCTGGCCGTGAAATCAGGTGCAAGATTTATGCGCGCGATAGACTAAATTTTCTAATCACATTTAATTTTTTCTAAGCATCACAACAAGACAATACCGAATGTTCTAATTATAGAGAAACGCTGGTTTATCAAACAGCTTTTGATTTTTTTTCCTGACTCTGCGATTATTTTTATTGTGTCCACGCCCAGGCACGTCATACCATTAATTTGCCTCGGCAACGTAGCAGTTTGCAGCTAAGAGCTTAGCTATAACAAATTATAAAGAAAACCCCCTGGAAAACACAGCCGTATTTATGCTTTAACCTTCTTATAATACTTACGATTAGAATGACCGAAACCTTATTTCTGATGCATTTCATGGCATGAAAAACGTTCGATAGATGTTGCTTAGTGGACCGTGAGAATTTCCTCATTTTCGAGGCAAAATTAACTTGTTGTGTTTACTTCACCTGAGGTTTATAAATAAAGCTGGTTTGAGCACAAATTAGTCACAAACCAGCATGCATAAAGTATTTATCTTTTGAAACTAGGACCTGCATCAGCGTAAGTGGAACCAGATGTTCTTGTTGTTTTAAGCCATTCTGTGTTCACCTTTAGCTTCCATTTAGCCTGCCTTAAATAATCGCTACGCAAACAAACTCTCCTAGAAAGCTGTTTTTTCACATGATTGTTTGGGATTTCGTAAAATGGTTGGGCAAACTGAAAACACTGAAGAAATCTAAACAGACCGATTTTAGAATGCATTTTGTTCGAACCTCATTATGCGTGCAGGTCCGTGTATCTAACTTTGAGCCAAAACTAATTGGAACGTGTATTGTTTTTCTTGTTTTCAGTTGTAAAAACATTAATCTTCACCTGGATATCAAATAATGAACTTTGACAACGGTGCTACAGGTGCACTTTCAGGCTGAAGCTCTTAGCCACACCCTTTTTTAAATCTTTGCAAAGCTTCACACAACGTTTTTGAGCACAAAAATATTTCGTCGAGATATAACATTTGGGTGGTAATTAAATGGATGATACTATTCTTTAATTTGCCTTTTCACTTTCATTTTTGCATCGATGCTAGGAAATTCATCTCTCGGGAAGGCGATCCTAGAGAAATTATACCTGCGTCGATTTCTCTTTTGTCATGCTAAATAAGTTGAATGCAAATTTTTCGTTAAGTGCATGGGATACGTTCAGGGTCTTTTTAAACGATCCCCTTATTATCACGTTATGCTTTTGATTTCTTTTGATTAAAGTTATCGTCCATGGATTTATCTGGGATCCAATTTGGTTATGTTCTGTTATGGGAATTCAACATCGTTAAAGACATTGGGAAAACAAAACATCAAGAAAGTCAGAATGAAAGAGCGTTGTTCTGTATTGTAGGTAACAGAGATAGTTGGAATTAAAATAGGTTACAACAAGTTCGGAGCCTCGGGGTTTTTCAAAAATAGGAATCTATCGAAACCCAATACTTAATGAGTAAAATAGCCACACTTTTGTAATTTTAACTTCGGAATAATCGTTTTAAGATCTATCCATTGTGCTTGGTAAAATAACTGAAAGCTTTGAATTCTCGTTTCTTTAACTACACAGAGTCACTACCAAAAGCGTGGCTAGCGATGAGTCGTCGCTGGACTCTATATTGTATATCAAATTAAAGTTTCATTGACTTTTCATTGACTTTTTCATTTTGGCTCCAGTCCTAAAGGTAAATTTTTATCCTACAGAATCATCTGGAGCACCTCCCTCAATACACTTCTATTTTCCATCTTAAAAGCAGGGATGACCGGCAGAACAATAACCTTGTATGCACCCCTGAACAAATGTTAGATAAGGTTCTGATTTTCCGGCCGATAAAATAAAAAGCAGGACGTCAGTGTCATCTAAACGTAATAGCCTCTTTTATGTAAAACACAATTTCTTAGCCTCTTTCGTGAGGAAGCTTACACCGTCGCTCCACCGTTTTAAACAAACCTCGAAGGACGGGCTAATGCTAAATTAAGCAATGAGAAATCTATGCCATGAAAAGTTTTCGATGTCACGAAGTCTCGCCAACCCTAATAATAAGGTATCTATAATATTACCATAAAAATTATGACACAAAGAGGAGTTTTCGGGTACCTTAGCATTCCCCATGAAATACGCTTAGTGTGCACCCTCTAAAAACTAGGTTTTTCATCGAATTTTGATGGAGTGGATCGGCGAAGGCAAACGTTTTTTTTATTCTTTTTTTGGTCGGTTTGATCTTTCTTTTTAAGTTACGAAATCGACGGGAGAAACTAAAGGGTAATGATTTCGTTTCATCTGACTAAAGAAGCTTTTTAGATTAAGTTTCTCAAGGGTGGTTGAGAGTTTGGCTTAACTTGACAAGGGGGTGGAGTGGAGGAGTTGGGCCGTGAATGATCAGTTAATTAGGTTACCACATGGTCAGCTTCCTTGTCACAGTCATGTAAAAGTTAACCTACAGTTAACTGTACTGCATTGTCTGTGCTAAAGGAGTTGTTTGTTCACGGTAAACGAAGTACAGGAAGCTAATTTATAACTCCGTTGAATGGAAAGAGTTAAATCACGTGTCAACAACAATAGCTTTAGTAGGCTTTCATAATGTCTTACCTTACCACTACAAATGTTACTGAACATTAACTAATAGTTCAAAGCGTCACAAGATCGTTCTTCATAATTAAAATTGTAACTTCAGTATAACCTCTACAAACTCCATAGCATTATTTTTTTTACATAGTATTATTTAGCAATTATTCGCCTCAGGCTCGGTGAATATTGTTGAATAATAACCGAGACGAAGTCGAGGGGATTATTCAACAATATTCACTGAGCCTGAGGCGAATAACTGTTTTAGTATAATTGCTGAGATGCTTTCGAATTCTGTTTTAGACTCGCCTAAGAAAATTCAAAATTGTAAATCTTTTTACCATTGTTTGGATTACTCGTATCAAGATAAGCGGCCAGTTTCCACTGGAATTTTACAGGTTCATTCATTCCACCTGCAAAAAAAATCATATCTTTCTGTTGAAAACTGTTACGCCAAACTTGTTAGCATCTTTTTTGCGTTTCAGAATGATATTTTCTTCCAAAAAAACGTGAGGCAGCCATTTTGAAATTTAGCGCCTTTGTTCTAATAACCTCGTGCGAGGTGATTAAAGCGACATATGACGCAATCAGCGACCAATCAAAGTGCGCGTATCTCAATAATCACCGGAGCAGTTCTACTAATGTCACTTCTTGCCAAGGATTTAGTCTGATAAGCCGGTACATTTGAATACAGTTAATTAGCAAATAGTAACTTACTGTTATCTTTTTAATTTAGGTGGAATTAAGGTTTTCCAAGGACAACTTACGACGACACTTTGTAACCATTCATTCCAAACAAAATGCCATTTTTTCGCACAATAATTCTAAAACGTCTCGCCGGATACTGTTACGGGATTAGTCTTAACTATCTTATACAAAGGCGATATTACATCGCGAGAAGTTCAATCATCACTACAGCCATTTTGAAATCGCAAAGTTCTATCTCCCAAATAGGATTTTTAGTTAGTTTCAATATTCCTTTGATCCAGCACTGAGCCTGATTGTTAAAAAAAAGGAGCCGGAAGTTAAATTCACCCATTTTTTGGAAAAAAGTTTTGAAATCTCATTTGCTTCTCTTTTTCAATATTTCGTTCACACATGCATAGGTTGGAGGAAACACAATGCGATTTAGAGCAAGCGATAGAACGAGCCAAGCACACTGCAAGGATTACCGGTGATTTAAAAATGGGTTAATTGAAACTAAAATAATTTTGATAATCTTGATTTCTTTGAACAAAATTATGGAAAGAAGCGTTTTAAACTTTGAAATTAAACGCGAAGCCACATGTTCATCCTTATTGGTGGTGTAGACACATTTACTTTTGCCAAAGCTCAGTGAAGGAGCATATGTCTGACCAAGAACAACTAACGACAACACAAAATAAAAATTACAAGGACAACAACTACAACTACTAACGCTACCAATACTGCTTTTACTATACTACTACTACTATTACTGCTACTACTACTACTACTACTACTACTACTACTACTACGACTACAACTACTACCATTGGTCGCCAAGGGGCTCCTTAGCATTTTCAACATAGTTTGCGATTGAAAATCGATCCTCGGTGAAAGTAGGTCGGCTAAACGAAAGGTCAGTTTCGTGTGTCTTAGTGTTTTGAGGTATTATGCTACAAGGTTGGTTGCTCGCTGGCAAGAATCCATCAACAGAAAAAAAATCCTTCTCGGTGAAAAAGCGCATGGTACCTAATTTTCAATGATCAGAACAGTGCCTGCGTTCGAGGGAATAAAATTTGGAACCAAGCAGAACCGTGACACATAATCGACAGCTATGCAAATGGCAGATGCTAAATGAATGGCATAGAAATATGTCTTTAGCAGCCAGATTAAAGCAGTTCTTATGCAAACAGAACACATCAAAAGTCTTTATTCTTTTGCCGCCATTCTCTGCATTGCCGTGGTCCTCGATCCTACTAAGGTGTGGTGATTGCAGACGTGCTGCTTCTGACAGTTTTTAGTGAGAAGTGTTCCAACAGTGAAATCTGCGACGTTGCACTCGGAATCGCCGATTCCGACGTCTTAAAAGTTTTATTTATGTAAAAAGCGGGCATCTGATTATGGGATAGCTGAGTAGGTTGCCATGAACGTGACAAAAAATTAAAGGGACAAGGTAGTCGGCGAGGTGTTAGTTCCTTCAGTGCCTTGCGGAAGTTTTTGTTGACCAGTGAATAGATCACAGGATTTGCAGACGAATTGATCGCAACAAATAACACAAGGACGAATATGGTATCATTATAGTATCTATGATCGACGACCACTGGCCAGGAAGCAAGTACAATACGCATCGCATTTAAAGGAAGCATGGTTATGGCAAACATCAAAACTAAAGGCGTTAAGACTTTCCTCACTCGTTTGTTCTGCTGAAGTCGCTCTGCCTCAACTCTGGACCAACGTAAAACTTTATCACTTGATTGTGAATCGCCGTTTTGTTTCATTTTCATGTCCTTCAGAAATTTGGTGCTGCGAGAAATTCTGCGTGCTATCCCAATATAAGTCAGTGCTATCACAGAAAGTGGCAATATATAAGAGAGCAACGTTAAAGCAGCGATATACGTGCGCAATAAAATACGCGTTTTATCCCAGTGAGGCCAAACTGGACCACAATACTTCATTTGGTCGTTCTCCAGATATCTGTAAACAATGTTGAGTGGAATAGAAAAGAAGCAGTACGACGTCACCCACACAAACCCGACTACGATTTTATCCGTTCTTAGGGAAGTGTTTTTTTCGTCACTGCGTTTGGCTTGAAGAGCGAGGACCTTTCTATATCTTTGAATGGCAATAATTGCAATAAACCATATAGATGATCCGATGGTTGCGTCAGTGAAAGGACACAGGAGCAGGCAAAAAAATTTTCCAAGAGGCCATTTAAATGGAAGTTTCTGTTTGATTATTCCTATAGGCAATGCTAACAACAGGTAGCTGAGATCTGCAATGGCCAAGTTAAGAAGATAGAGATCCACTCCTGTTTTCTTGCCCATTTTACTAATGATGATTGTCACGAAGACGTTACCCACTACACCGAACAAAGCAATTAACAATTCTACACTTAGTTTTAACACCTCTTTGAGGGGCATATCTGCCTCTTCCAGCCTTGCCGTAGTATAATTTTCGAGGGTATGTGTCTGAGCAGAGCTTGTTACATTTGAGTTATATGTTGTGCTTCCACAATGTGTTGTAGAGCAATTCTGTAAAAGTTCGGTCGACATGTTCCTACGCCCTTACCTTGTGAGACTTTAAAACGAGACTATTACCTGTGCCTTTCCTCGAGTGAGAGTTGGAGAGATGTCGGTGTGCGTTTCGTACGCCCTTTGGTGAACTTCAATTAATCTCTTGGGAAGATTTGGAAACTCCTCGTACTCGCTTCCTTCTGCGAGGGATTGAAGATAGATAGCGTTATCAAAACGACAACAAGCTTTATACCTGATGAATTCAAATTATGATCATAGAGCTTTCAAAAGAGCCATCTGGAGCAGCTTTCCAACAGAGCTGAACCCTTTCATGTGGTTTATTCCGTTTATGAAACACCAAAAAAGAAGAAAAAGTAAAGATTGACATCTCTGAAATAGCCGAGCATCCTTTTAGATGTTCCTTTCATAGAGCCCTCGGGGTTTATCAATATGGTGTCCCCAACTGTTTCGCTGTTAATTGGAAAAAGCTAAAACATAGAATGATGATATAAAAGGCTTCATCATTTAGCTGATACGTTTCTACGTCTGTACAGGGCAATATCCGTTGATATAGTGGTATCTTTGATATTCTGCGTCGAACATTATTAGCTACTGACATTTTACGAAAAAAAAAGGTAAAAAGAAAAACTTAATCCAAAAGGAAAAGATATCGATCAAAAAAGGTGTTCTGCTTTCAACCAGCGTGCAATTCAACAGATGTTCATAAGCTGTTAGCGGTGGCTCGATATTTCTAAAGCCACTCGAAGATTGGACGTGCTTCGTAATTAACGTAAAAAATGATAGAAATAAACTGTTATAGACAACTGTTAGATACCATGGGGTATCTAGCACGACAAATGATAACTAGATGTACATTAGGAAATCACCTTAATTGCTCAAACAATGCGGCCTTTGACTAAAAATGTAGGTTCAAGGGGTGATATTGCTTTCATACATCACTTCAACGTTTTTCTTCAGTCATACCTGATGCAAATAGATCTGACCAAATGAATTCGGTTAAGTTTGCCTTTTGTAAGAACCAGAGCAATTCGTAATAATAAGTATTGCATGAATCAAAAATTAAAATTTCATCCTGTTGAAATGAAACCAATCGACTATCTAAGCGAAATGAAAATAATGCGAGTAAAAAAAAAAAGGTAGACAGAGGAAGTACTTTTCCCATCAAACTAGCGGCTTTTTAAGTTAATAAAACTAAAATGAAATATTGGCTCATTTCAGGAAGGAAGTCAAGGCGCGTTAATTGCACAGATTTCCGTATGCAAATTTCTTGTGGTTGAAAACGCCATTCTGAGGTTGTCCTCTACGAATTTTTGAAAAATATGAAAAGAAAGCTCAACTGCACCAGAAAATGCATTTTTGATTTTGTGGCCATACTGAATGCTAAGAGAAATTTAGGAGATTTTCCATATGGGAACATGTATATGTAATTGAAATAGGAAAATGTAAACATCAATCTTATCTCGAAGACCTCAAGAAAACTGGACAAAACAGAACAGAACAATATTCGCTGTGATAGACTTTTTGATCTGTGTGATTTTTATTTTCTCTTTTTCGGGAAAAATGATGAAAAAAATACATTGGCTGTGAAAGTGTAGTTTCTAAAAATTTAATGTTCCTTTTCATGTCGGATTCAAACACAACAGGCGCCAACCCAACATGAGTTTGCAATTTGAGTTTTGAAAGGATATTAGGTAAATTTAGCGGAATCCTGTTTGAATTAATGTGATGGTAAAAGTGCCGTGTAAATCGGAAACTTTGATTGTATCAAGTATAAGTAAAACAAGACAAATAGAAATTAAAAAACCTCGCTGACCTCACGCAACACAAATGTTGTTAACAACATCTCATTTGCATTTTAAACTTAATTATAAAATATCATTATCGATGGAATATTCACTTTTACAATTTCAAAGGCACGATAAATTAAAGTTTAACCACGGGTAAAAAAGCTATTTTTTAAACCTTAAATGAATATCAGCATGTTCGTTATTGAATTTGCAAAGCTCACGTTCAATGTGCGTCAAATACTAAAAGGGGATTTTTTGTACTGAAAGTGCCTAAGTTACTGATCTCAGCCAATGAGAATTACTTATTTATTTTGAATGTCTATGTAAATCAGTAAGCTTTAAACGATGATCATTGAGAATCCCTTGATTTTGAGCATTGTTTGAAAGAAATCTTGTCGAGGCATTTGCGAGAAAAATATTTTGAATCCAAGTTGGCTAAAAAACAGAAAACGGTTTCCATGACATGAAGTCTCATTGACCAATAGCATTTTTGGAAATTTTAGAATGTTTCACATGATACAAAAAATATATTCTGGTGTGTAAATTCATTTAAGATGTAGAATGTAGATCAAGTCTCCCATATCTCCCAAGATCACCAAGCGAAAACAAGAAAACACTGGAAGTAGACGTTTGCTGCAAGTAGTTTGTTACAAAATTTGTTTCCCACAATTTTTTTTTCTTTTTTTTTTTTTACTGCAACAAGATATCCCAAGGTCTTCAGAGTCTCTTTCATTGGCATTTAAAGTAGTCCATATGATTAAAATTGTTTCAACGTTTTCTCTTTGAAACATGGGTGAGGTTAAGCGCGACATTTACGGAAAACAGGAAAAAGCAAAATGACCTCCTGACCAATTTTTCCCGCTATTTTTGAAGTTTGCTGTTTGTTCTATGCTGTTTTCAACGTGAAGGAAGGAGCCTTCACCTTTATGAAGACATGAGTAAAATGTTTATTATTTTATGCTTTTGTAAAGCATTATAAATCGTGTGCTTCGGAGTGAAGCTTATTTATTCCTTTTTTGAGGTTAAACAACTGTTTTGTATTGACTTAATTATCTGAAAAAATGAAAAAAACTTCAGCGCCGTGAGCTTCGCACTGCTCTTTGTTTGTAAAGTGCGTTCCAAGTTCGTGCCGTAATTGTAAAGTAAGATAGTTTGAAGACGTTGCAAGGAAATTATTAGAAATCCTTTTAAAATGGAAGGATAGTATATTACTTGTGCAGTCTTGTTTTGTAGGATAGGTTTTTCGTTTCCGAAGGCCGCCTAAAGCAAGATGAAAACTGAATTTGCTTATTTTATTAGGTAAAAACCGCTCGTACTTCGAATTTTGAAACTTTTAGAAATTTCTCCTTTAAAACAATTCGTTGGAAACATTCTTTTTTTTTCCTGAATTTGTTATGGGACCGTCCATCGATTCTCGATATCCTCAGAAATACGCTCTGAAGTGCAAGAAGTGAAAAACGCCAAACGTGAAAAGTCAAGTAGCCGTTTCCTGTTTACCGTAAACATCATGCTGAACTTCTCTGTTTGCAGCATGTCTCGTGATGACAAGTACAACTGTTGTACTTTGTTTTTCATTTATTGTTTTCTGTCATTTTCGGTTTTTCTTGTTGTTGATGTTGTTTTTTTTAATCTTTTTTCGCTGATTTGAAACAAAAAGTGTTGAACGTAGAAAATACGAAGCCAAAAACTTTTTTTCACTCGCGATCAATATAACAAGTAAGCCTACACACGAAAGCATTGCAAAAGATTGTCTTCAGAGCCCACTAGAATTGCTCCACGCCTGATTATTATGCATACACGTTAGAATCAACATATATTTTTTGTTGGTGTTTTCCAATTAAACTTATAGTTTTGAAATACATTTCTTTGAGAACCGACATTTCATAAAAAGCCCATCAGTAATATTTTAGTTAAAGCTGATCCGGATGTCCCCCAAGAAATTTTCTTGAATATTGATGTTGTATTTTTCTGTCTAGTCTCTCACACTAAACGTCAACAATAAAGGCAGCTTTTAATTTTGATTACTTGTTTAGATAAGAATGCTTCCAATTTTTTCATTCCGTTGAAAATTTTTGGAACTTGTAAACTTTCCCACCCCTGAGGTCAATTTGCAATTTTGTCACTATGCCTCGAAAGCTTTCACAGAAATGTTTCATCAAACGCTTTGTCTTGGAACAGTATTAATGATTGAAGGCAATTAAAGAGACCCTGTGTTCGTAATTTTAAACGCAAGAGACGTCAAAACTTAAGAGATTGATGGGGGCGGAAAGTCGAGGAAAGCGTCATGCGCTTTATGCTAATAATTTCTTTGCGATAAAAAAAATAGAGTTACACTCGAAACAAAGTATGTATTCTACTAATTACTTTCCTTTTGGAAAGAAACACATTCTAAGGATTTCCTCTCGAAATAAGCTTAAATCAAACTATGATACCTTGAAAATAAGTAATCACGTATTGATTGCATCGCGGAATGATTTCAAATATTGGAAAAGGAACGGCGAAAAAAGTGAAGGTTAGATTTTAAAATGTAATATCAATTCTGTTCCCACTTTCGAGACCTTTTCAATGATCTAACATCTTACTGTAGTATTTGGTGAAGAATCACACAGTAGAAAATGAGTATAACATGTTATATTACCGTCAGTTCTTCACAGAAATGTTATTTAAGAGGGCATTTCATATAAATCACTTCCGAAATGTTTGCCTTCATGATTCCCTTTTTAAAGCGCAACTTGAAAAAGAAACTGTATTTGTGTGAGAGACTAATTATGAAGATGCACCAGAGCAAAAGGTGAAATTTCAATGCAACTTTAATCGTATCTTACAAATATTTCAAATCCGATATGATTCCTAATGCACACAAATTACAACATCGATTCAAAGTTACCTTCCTAGGCCAGTCACACTGAAGATGTTGAAGATCTAGACGGTGCATCCGTGAAGAAATTCACAGCTGTCCAAGAATAGAAGGTAAAACTCGTTAAAATCCCTTGATCCATGATGCGACCTTTCGCCTTCTAGTGCTGAGAATTAGCCTTTCTCTGCAAAAAAAATTAAGCATTATTGCATGTGCTTGTGATTCGATGAAATCACCCAAAAGGTAGATGACGAGGTTGATAACTGAGTATTTCCGCCGCCGAAATTGAATGAAAAATTGATGTCATGAATACCAACTGACAGTCGATACAATTGACACTAAAATCCTGTCATAGACGGAAAACAAAGCGGGCGTTTTGATATATTTCTCTTTGGAGTTATTTGAAAGGCAAAAATTACATGAAAATCAATTTTTTTTGGTGAATTTCTACTCTTTGTTTACAAAAATCAGGCAATATAGTCTAAACAACGATCAAAAGATAGATTTTATCTGAAGAAAAACTTCAATTTAAGGATGCTTTAGTAGACGGTAAGTACCATCACTTACAGATCAATAAAAATGCCAAATATTCCCTCTGAGAGATATGCATATGTATCTGAATATAAAGTCGTCGCTTTGAAGATAAGTTAGTTTTATTTAAGATGATCGGCAGAGTTATTCCTTCTTGCTCGTTCGTAAACGGTTATGGCTGCTCATTGGTGAGGCCCAATGAAAGCAAATTACTATTGTTTTCCTTACAATAAAATCTATTTTGAAATCAAGTACAACCTTTTCCTTTCCTGATAATCCCTATTCCTAAGCCGTCTAGGGGCAAAATCACTAATGGAAAACAAAGATGATCAGAAATGTTAAAAAAACCAGTTAAAAAGCAGTATCATATTGGATTGTGAATCCGGCTCTGACATGACTATCTTTAATAAAGCTTGGTCAGACAGTAAGAAGAAGAAAATCACAAAGTAAACACCTTTCAATTTCTTCTTTGTGTTTGATTACAAAATATGGCAGGAGAGCATTCGATCAATATACAATCGCGTGTGAAGTTGAAATGATAAGGCAATATCTTCAGCGGATATTATGTCGAGTTCAAAGTCTGCCTAGTTTTCCTCCCCCTCGTCCGTGTAATGTTCTGAAACTATTGCAAACTCAGCAAGAAATGTTTTTTTTACAGATTATCTAAAAACGTATAACAAGGAAGTTATCAAATTTTGTTTTCGCTTTATTTCATGAATTATCAAACCTCGTCACCGAATATATCTGACTCAGCCTTCGCCCTCAGTGGATAATTTAGACCTCGATTTTGATACTTCATGCTATCACGTTCAAACTCATCCAAAAATTGCTTATTTTTGCCAAAGCAGGGTAATTGGAAGAATTCAAAATACTAAAATTAGTAAAC